CCATTAACCTCTGCATTTCCAAAGGCAATGGATAATCCTTAGCCATGCTTACTTTGACCTCTCAGTAACATTCAACGTTTTCTTTTTCTTATGTGACTCTCCTGATTCTCATCATATGTATCTTTAGTTCTTCCCATTCTCCAACAGCACCTGATGATCTAAACTAACCAGTGTGCTGGCTCCTGCCCTCTGTTCTATTCAACTGTATGAAAAGTAAGCTTTTCATGCTTTCTTCCAGACCCGTTTATCTAAGCATGTGGAAGTCTCAGTTGCTCAGTCGTGTCTGACTCTTTGCAACCCCATAGACTGTAGCCCACCAGGCTCCTCTGTCCATGGAATTCTCCAGGCAAGAATACTGGAGTGGGTAGCCATTCCCTTCTCCAGGGTCTGGAACCCAGGTCTCCCACATTGTGGCAGGCAATCTCTTTACCATCTGAGCTACCAGGAAAGCTGCTTATCTAAGTATATCTCTACTCAATTCAACAAGTTCAAAACTAATTCATCATCTTTCTTCTAAAACTCTTATAATCCCTTATCTTAGTATTAACACTACTGTGTACCCAGTGGCCCAAATTAGAAATATAATAACCCAACCCTCTTCCTTCTCTTCTTTCCACAGTATACAATTTGTCATTAAGTCCTACCTGTTCTCAAAACTATCCACTGGTATACCAGCAAATGTTTAACAACCAGCTTTTGCAGGGAGATGGTGGAATTAGGTAGCATTTGAAGATTTCCACAGTGTAATCCTCCTGCCATGGTTGATTTCAAGCTACTAATGTGACATCACTGAATAGACTTGGGAAGAGAAGTGCATTATCACACATTATATAGTATTTCCACCTACAGATTCAACAGGCATAAATAACCTTAAGAGAATAAGTGGTAAAGTAGTAAAAATAAGTATAAAGAGGTGAGTTTTGAGTATTTCTTTTGTTTTTTAACATAAATTGTAAGTGTATATAATCTAATTTTCAATGATGGCTTTGTTTAATAACCAGCTCACAAGATTCCTGGAAAGTTAGCAACTGGCTCTCATGAGCCAGGACAAGCTGGATCTGTCTCTCTGTTTTCCGTTCTCAAGACCAGAGGCAAAATCTAAGGCTCTGACCATCTCTCATCTTGATATTGCAATTTCCTCCTGGTAAGCCTTCTACTCATCTGTCCCACACATCATTGCACCAAGGATCCTTTCTAACATTCAGATGTGATTATATCATTCCCCCACTTACAATCAGTCATTGAGGCCCCATAGTTTTTCAGCTGGAATTTAAAATTCCTAGTTTAACACACAAAGACTTGCCTTGTTTTGAGCCTTATCTCCCTCTGCTTCACCCACTAACACCCTCGGAACACAAACATACACTGTCTCACGACTCTGGACCGTCACCCATGCTGTTTGCATCCTCAGATTGCCCTTGTGTCTTTCATACAGCTAACTAGTACTGACTGGTTTTTCACATCTCAGGTCAAAAACATCCTCTTGTGAAAGCCTTTTCTATACAGGAGCAGTAGAGTGTAATGGTTAAGAACACAGCATAAAAGCCAACTCCTAGGTCTCAAACATTGGTTCTGCCACTTCGCTGAGTAACCTTGAACACGTTACTTAACCTTAATTTCCTCACTAATAAAATGATGAAAATCAAGTGTTAGCCGGTAGAATTATTTAAAGGATTCAAAGAGTTAGTATGTGCAAAACTCTTAGAATGGTACCTAAAATTTAAGCCCTTAAGACTCAGTAAATTTTAGCAGTGTGTGTGTGTGCTAAGTCACTTCAGTCTTGTCTGACTCTGTGTAGCCTGCCAGGCTCCTCTGTCCATGGGATGCTCCAGGCAAGAATACTGGAGTGGGGTGCCATTTCCTTCTCCAGGGGATCTTCCCAACCCAGGGATCAAACCCATGTCTCTTATGTCTCTTGCATTGGCAGGTGGGGTCTTTACCACTTAGCAACACCTGGGAAAACAATGTTAATGTTATTAACTACCTAATTGTAAATGCTTCTTATCTGTATTTCCACTGCACTATGTACACACTCAACAGATTATACTAAATCATCGATTTACTCGATACCCTCATTTGTAACTCCTCAGACAGGAACCAGGTGGCCCTGTGCTTAGTCAGAGTCTAATAAGTGCTCAATAAATGAATAAACGAGTGATTGAGTAATGCAAGCTCTGGCCAACTGGATACATTTTTCTTTTTTATTCATTTGGTTTCATTAGATTTGAGAAAGTGAAGGGAATTTGTGAGATCCTGTGATCAAATCAAAGGGAAATGTGTTCTCAAATGTAATTACCTATACATACTGCTATTAAAACTAAAATCAGAAGGAAATTAGCCTTAAAACCCACAATACTTTTGCTGATTGATTCTGGTTTGTGTTGCTACCATCTTAAAGAAGAGTAGTTAACAGTCTCTTAGCCTAATTCCATCGTTACTTGTGATGAATGTCAGAAAGACTCCTGGAGTTAAAGGGAGATTTGGTCATGTTTGAGCAAAAGAATTTTGAATGTTCCACTGGAAAATTCTTCTGACCTCACATCAAAACTTAAATTATATTATTTTCTAAGGCTCTACATTGTTGTCCAAGAATTGCTATATGACTTTTATGGAAAATGAAAAAGAAGAAAAAAGATGAATTGAGCACCTCCTAGGCATCAGGCATTTTTATAAATACAATTTCTTCTTCTTTTCTTTCTTTTTAACTGAAGGATAATTACGATACTGTGTTGGTTTCTGCCATACATCCACATGAATCCGCCGTATGTATACACAGTCCACTCCCTGCTGAGCCTCCCTCCCACCTCCCACCAACACTATTTCTTCTAATCTTCGCAGAACTGAATTAGATGTTGTGCTAGGATTCTCCAGGGTGGTGAGGGGTGGGGGTGGGGGATATATATATGTTATGTGTACAGAGAGAGAGAATGAATGTAAGAAATTGGCTCATTCAATTATAGACAATGGTAAAGTTCTGTGATTTGCCTTCGCAAGCTGGAGACCCAGTAAGCATGGTGATCCCAGTTAACTCTGCAGCTCTGGTCTGAAGGCCTGAGCACCAGGGACTCTGATGAATATATGTTCCATCCAGAGAGCGTCCATCCAGATCAGTGTTCCCGCTCAAACAGTGAGGCTGAGAGAGCAAATTCTCACTTATTCCAACGTTTTGTTCTATGCAGGTCCTCACCAGATTGGATGAAGTCCGCCCACACTAAAGGGCAATCAGCTTTATGCAGTTGACTGATTGAAATGCTAATCTCTTCAGAAACACACTCACAGATGCACCTAGAAATAGTGTTTAACCAGACACCTGGGCATCCCACAGGCCAGTCACGTTGTCACATAAAATTAACCATCACATAGCCAACAAAGACCTACTGTATAGCACCGGGAACTCTGTTCAGCGTTATGTGGCAGTGTGGATGGAAGGGAGTCTGGGGAAGAATGGATACATGTTGTATATGGCTGAGTCCCTTCGTTGTCCATCTGAAGTTGTCACAACACTGTTAATTGGCTATACTCCATACAAAATAAAATATTTTAAAAAAATTAACCATCATAGGTTAATTTTCAGATGGCAAATCTGAGTCTCAAAGTGTTATGTAACTTGCCAAAGATTCCGTGGATGTCAAGTGTGGGTTCACGTTCAGATATATGTGTTTCAAATCCCAAAGTGCCATGTTCCTTCTACTAAGCCAGTAGTTCTAAATCAGGTTAGTTTGCCCTCCAGGGTGACTTGACAATGTCTAGAAACAGTGTTGGTTAGCATAACTGGTGGGGATCGGGGGACTTGCTATTGACGTAGTGGGGAGAAGTCAGCGACGCTACTAAGTACATCCTACAATGCACAGGGCAGCCCCCACAACTAAGAATTATCCAGCCCCAAATGTTACTAGTGCCAAGATAAAGAGACCCTGCACTAAACTATACCATTTTATATTTTAACTGTTTTCTAAAACAGTAGAAAAATAATGTGCCGATCTAAAACATAAATGAATAGAGTTCCATAAATCTAATAAATACTGATGGAATGAGTGAGTGAATATTAAATTCTAGATTATGATTTTAATAGCCTTGGAAAATTTGGGAAGAGTAAGTGATGGGTACATGAAAAATTATTTTTAAAAGGGAGTCAACTTCTAGGTACAGACAAAAGCAAAATATTGTTCAACAAAAAAAAGGTAAGTATGATTCAACACAAGAAATTACTGTTTGGCTCAGTTGTGAAAAATATTTACATTGTTATAATGCTAAATAATGACTTAAATAGGAATTATGATACAATTACTTTAGGAAGAGGGGAAAGAGGAAAAGAGTATTGTGTATATGTGTGCATGTATGTTGTGTGTGTGTGTGTGTGTGTCTATGTGTGAAGTGATAGCTGATACAGTATTAAATCTGTTGGAAAATGTTTAATGTTAATACATTTTTAAATACTTACTTAAGAATTTATTTTAAAATATGAGTAACTAACAGAAGAAACTGCTCCCTTTCCTTAAAGCATCAAAGTATTATTTAAGCTCTAGGGATGCATTTATATATAAAACTCTGATTGTAAGAAAAATCATCTTAAGTCATCTCCCATTTCTGAAACTCTACACTAAATGTGTGAGTTTCTCCAATACCAAGAAGCAGTTTGTTGAATCCAAACCTAACACACTATATTACTTCATTTTGTGACTTTTGCATTCACTGTGAACACTTAAAAATCTTCAGACCTAAGATCTGCATACTCCCCCATCTAAGGAAGCACAGTCATCAACAGAGACAGATTCTGCCGAACACAGCTGGGCCAAAAAATCCAGGAGTCATTCTCCCTGGGAGACACAATTTGGTGAAAACTGTCATGAATCTGTCTTTTCAGACACACAAAGATAAGTGCCTTTAAATACAAAAGACAATATCAAGCTCAGTATTTGCTAAGAGTATCTTTTAACTTCTTACAAAGAAACTTTTACCCATAACTGTTCATTATCTTCTTGATTTACAGGTCTAGAACAATGAAGACTGTGATTTTTTTCCTATGCATTTTGGGAACTGCAGGTGCTATTCCGGTAACTGTCCTTTCCTCTGTTTTTACTTAAATCTCTCCCTCCTGACATTCAGTTTAAGAATCCTCCATTTTAAAAAAATGTTCTTGAGCTTGTGCTATTTACTTAGTAATGTGTTAATCATATCACTTGATTTTATAAAGCCTTAAACTGTTAAGAAATAAATAGATCAAGGACAGCCCCAACCAAAAAATAAATAAGTAAATAAAAGTGTTCTTACATAATAGTTTAAAATTCTTTTTTAATTTTAATCATATTATTTTTCCCATGCAGGGAATGAATGACTAGTAAAAATGAAATAAGGCACTTTTTAAAAATAAATTTCTTTAAGAACTATCAGGCTCTACAAATATAAATATAAGTGAAACTGTTTATTAACAGTCTGTTAGCCAAATACCAAAGAGAAAAGGAAGAAATAAATTCTCCTATGGAAGTTCACCATACTAATATTAGAAATCTAAGAAATTAGTTTGAGAAATCTTGGAGCAAATACCCACCCTCTCCAGCAGTATTTTCTGCAATATCAATACACACCGACTGAGAAATTCTGAGTCTATAACAGAAACAGGAACCAAACGGTTAGGCACAGGAAAATGATATAAATAAATCAGATCCTAACTCATCCTTGGAGCTATGTCCAAGCAAGCATGCTGAAAGCAGACAGGACTAAAACATTCTTTTCTTCACAGCCAAATATACTGGCCCCAACATTCACCCTGTTAATAAATCAGCCTCACAGAAATCAGATCATTTGAGACTGTGTCAACAGCCTCAAAATACCTGAAGGCTGTCTTTGTTTGTTTCTTTGTTTGATTATAGCTTGGATGATCATTTGGCTATCTCCCAAGAGATCTATATCAACCTTAATCAAACTAAGGGATTTGTGCCTTTTTTTCCTTTTCACCAAATAAAGGAATCATCCTTCTTAAAACAGACAAAGCATTTTATCTCTTATCCCTTCTCTCCCTCTCTATTACATCCAAGATTCTGTCCTTGCTTTTTGGATAGCTTCTGGTTGCCATCTGTGTCGGCAGAGATAAACACCATGCCATCCGGACCAATAGTTCTTAGAAAACAGAATTTGTGGCCACCCCTGAGAATCGTGCTTAAGTAACAAGGAGCTACTCCAGCTGGAATTATACATTGTCCTCTGAAATTACAGAAGTGGAATCAGTGTTTTCAGCGTAGAGGGAAGTTCCCACAGAACCATTGTTTTCTTGCCTTTGCAGCTGTTGTCACAAATGTAAACAGGCATCAAAAGTGTCTTTGAACCAAATGTTTGAATGACACGCCTGTCTACAGACACATTCCAGATGTTTCCCTATTAGGAAAACGTGTTTTAATACAGACTCAGTCCAATGGCAAAAAGCTAAGCATCTTTTCAAAGGATGTACCTATTAAAAATATTGTATCATTTTCCCCACCCGCCTGAATTCTCCAGAAATCAGTGGGTTCTGTATGGTTGGGAGACTCCGCATGGATTTCCAGAGGGTATGTTGTTACAAACGTACACATGGACAGAATGATGAGACAGAATTTCGCCTTTGAAAATTCCTGAAAGATAGGCTTTCGTGTTTTTCATGCATTTCTTCCAGCTTGCTGAGGGGGAGTGGAGGAGGCAGGGAACAGGCTAGGGGAGCAACTCTCCACGAAGCCAAAGATTCCCACCCACTACTGTCATCCATCAGGCCAAACTGGCCACCGTTCTCTCTCCACATTCCTCTGAGGGCTTTTCTGGAGGGGTCTTCCCTGGGCTCAGTCAGTAAAGAACCCACCTGCAATGCAGGAGACCCGGGTTTGATCCCACGGTCTGGAAGATCCCCTGGAAAAGGGAATGGCAACCCACTCCAGTATTCTTGCCTGAGAAAATCCCATGGACAGAGGGGCCTGGTGGGCTACAGTCCATGGGGTCGCAAGAGTTGGACATGACTTTGCAACTAAATCACCACCACCATGTGTTTAAGATTTTGCCTTCCAAGGCAGGGGGTACAGGCTCAATTCCTGGTCAGGGAACTAAGAACTCACATGCCTTGCAGCCAAAAAACCAAAACACAAAACAGAAGCAATATTGTAACAAATTTAATAGAGACTTTAAAAAATGGTCCACATAAAAAATCTTTTTTAAAAACGGTTTCTCTGGATACTTTATTCAAATATATGATCATCCCTTTTAGTTGAAAAGGTAATAAGCAAGAGAGGAAGCCACATCTCAAAAAACCTCATACACTATATATTTCTTTATATGATACAATCAACAATACAGGACCTACTAATGGAGTAGACGAGTCAATTCAAATAAAATCTGAGTTTTATACCTACACTTGGACCTGTCTGACATCTGAGTGTCCACAGTACCTCTCTAATAAAGATCTGTGATAAATACCTGCCTAAGATACCAGACAGTTCATATTATTACCACTGTAGGATATTACTACTGGCTATAGTGATTTTTCACTTGGATTATCCCTTTAAACTTCAGGAAATGTGTTATATACTTAGCCTTATCTTGATATTTCTGCTCATTGCACCTTTAGAGATGAGAAAGTAGAGATGAACAATTTGTCAAACCACCAATAGATAGTAAATAGCACAGTCAAAACTTGAAGGGAGGTCTCTTGGCTCTACGTCCATTTGTTTGACTTTCCCATCAAGCCTCACTGCCCAACTCTTCATCTATGCCTCCACTCTTGCTAAAAATAGAACCATTCCTCTAGAGGAAACAATATTCAATAGCTATTCAACCCTACTAGACCTGGCATCCTGTTTCATATAGTTTATTAATTAGTTTAATATTTAATTATTTTTTACTGTTATACTTGATTTCTCAATGGATATAAGATGGATAGTGTTACAAAAATATATAAATACAGAATAAAGGATTTATAACTTTTCTGCTAATTATCAGTGAGCACTTATAAGTTATATAATTTATATATAACCTTTAAGTTACAAGTTATAACCTATAAGTTAACTTAAGAAAATGTTCAATGCAATGATAACCTATGATTAAACTGACTTTAATCTGACTTTATGCTAAAGAGTTTTCAAAATCATGAAGTTTAAATGCTTTGTAAAAGTTTGAAATAATTCCGAAAATTATTTTGGAAATAATTTGAAAATAATTCCAAAAGTCAAAAGTTGCTATTCTTGAGATCATTTTGCCCTATTTTCCCCTAGTCTCTGCAATGTAACTTTTTCTTAGTCATGATTGGGATTTTGTTTTCACTTAAGATCATATTCTGACTATTTTCTTATATCTTTAAAAATTCTAAAGAGTATCTTTTAACTTATGTTACAAATGAAATATATTACTACTAACAATGATGACAAGAAAAGATAACTAGAAATTTTAAACATTAACATCTAGGCATGAATAACACAAATCAGCTTTTAATTTTTTTTGCAGACACAAGCAAGGTTCCTATCTGATCATTCCAACCCAACTGCTGACTCCTTGAGTTCCTTCCAAGAGGCTGAAACATCCAAGCACACTGCAATCCCTCTTGTAGAGGTTGAAGATGCAGAAAATGAAAAGGAAACTGCAACATCCATAGAAGACCATTCCCATCTTAAGGTAAAAGGAATACAGTTGTACTAGTACAATGTTTTAAGTCTCCAAAGGCCTCAATGTTAAAACATGGTTAAAAAGACTACCTTATTCACTCTAAGTTTAATTTTTTTAAGATGATGATCATAGAAATACATGTATACGTATGACTGAGTCCCTTTGCTGTCCACCTGAAACTATCCCAACATTGTTAACTGCCTGTACTCCAATACACAATGAAAAGTTTTTTAAAAAAGATAATGATCATATCAGCTGCCTCCAATCTCTAAAAGAATTGTGAGGATTAATGAGTTTTACTTCTTGGGCTGAAGTGGTACATAATTCTTATATTTCACAAAATTCAAATTCAGGTTAAACTCATAGTTGTTGAATGTGAAAAACATCATAAATAAGTTTATAAGACATTGTGTGAAGAAAAAGAATAATGACTATTCAATGTTGCTTATGAATTGCAAATATGATGTAGATATAACATTATCATTTGTTTCAAGAATAAACTTTTTTCTTTTCAGCCTGAAAAATCTTCAGTGCTGAAGTCAGAGGAGGAAAACCATGATCAGTCAGCAGATCAGGAAGAGAGTTACAACCAAAATCTGGGATCACAGGACCAAGAGAAAACTGAAAGTGACTTAACCGAGAATTCGGAGTATTCACCACCTGAAGGCACATTGGACCTAGAAGAAGACATGAGTGAACCTCAAAAGGAGAAACTCCCAGAGAGCTTCCTTGCTCATGATGTTAGTTCCATTGTAGATTCTAACCAACAAGAAAGCATCACAAAGACAGAGGAAAACCAAGAACAACCTGTAGATGACTCCCATCCTCAGTTGAACAGTCAAGACCTAAGTGATCAAGGAAACCAAGATCAGGACACAAATGGAGAAGCGGAAGGAGGAAAAGAGCCAGGTGAAGTTGGTACCCACAATGATGATGAAGAACAGGAGACAGAGGTTCCCAAGGAGCCTTCTAACAATGAGCAAGAAGAAGACAGTACCCAATCTGATGCCGTTTTGGAAGAGTCCTATCAACCAACTCAAGAAAGCAAGATGCAGAAAGAGGAACTTGAACAGGGTAGCCGGGAACAAGAAGAGGAAAACACCAACGCAGAAATGGAAGAAGAAACTGCATCAAAAATCGATAAGCCCAGTCAAGATACAGAATGGCAGAGCCAAGAAGGAAGGCCTGGCCCTGAAGTTATCAGCAACCATGAGGAGATGGATAAAAAGACCCTTTCTGAGCCTTTACTGGTGGAGCCTACTGATGGTGGTAACATCATGGCCAGAAATCATGGGGCTAAGGATGACAGTGATGATGGCCCCAGACATAATGCAAGTGAGGACTACTTCATCCCAAGCGAGGAGTTCCTGGAGAATGAAAGAGCTCAGTCCATTTACTATCACACCAAGCATGAGGAGCAAAGGGAAAAAGCACAAGAGAATGAGAACCTAGAGACCAGAGAACCTGTAGGAAACCAGCCGGTGAGATTATTTTCAATGATGCTTGTCCGATAAAGTGGTTAGCTTTATAAAAAAAAAAAAATAGCCATGACCTTTCTCTGTGCTCTTGCAATCTCTGTGCTTATCTCTCAGTACCTTAGTAAAATATTTGATAATTATGTATTTTTCTTTGTATCTCCATCATTAGCCTGAAAATGCCTGTTTTATTTGGGTTCCCCTAGAGGAGACCCTGGATTTTAGTGCAGTTTGTTTGAGAGGTACAAGGACAAAGAGGAGTGGAGAAGGGATTCAGGGAAGAAAAGGAAGGTAATCAGTGGTACATCAGTAAAACCATGTAAAGCAGGTTTCTCTGAATTATCGAATTTGGAGAGTGAAGGAGCTATGGCTTTTACACAAGCTGAAATTTAATAGGAGAGGTGTCAATTTCCAAGTATCTCTGATCTAGCCTTGAGAAGGCCTTCTAGAGTATCATGGGTTTCCAGGCACCGAGATGCAGATACTGGCAGCTGAAAGTTCCTGGTGCTAACTAGAAAGGTAAATTCTAACGGATATGAGGGATGGGAGACGTGACCACAGCTGCTCTCATGCCTTGAGAGCAGACACTAGGTCATAGTCAGGCTGAATCACCAATATCTTGCAAAATGCCTCTAACATAATAGATCCAGCAATGTTTGTTGATTTAGCTTATAGGCAACGAACAAAGACTTCAGCCACAACTTTATTAAACAGACATGCACCAAAATCAGGGAATAGCAACAGGGTGGGGGAAAGGAAGAAACATATTGTTATTTGGTTGTTTAATCATTTGGAGCTTTCATGCAAAACCCTGGCAGGCACCTACCAGAAGCACCTGATACAGTTTTTTGGTGGGCAAGGTAGACAGTAATTTTGATTCCTGAGAACTCTGCTGCCATTCTAGTTTAGGAGTTTTCTTACATTTTAGAAACCTGGTAAGAAGCTTTTCCCAATAGCTTCATAGAGATTACTGACGTAATCGTGTGTTTAGAGGATCGCATGGTGATACCACATTTCTACTGTCTTCCCAAACCAAAGCGGGAGGTTCCAACTTTGCTTCTGGTGTTGGTTCCAACTTTTACTGGGTAACCCCAGACATGCACCACTGAACCCAGTTAATAAAGATAGGAACAAATCCTGTTTTCAAAGGGCTGCTGTCTCTTTCCACCGCTATGGCTCGTGTCTCCCTCTGAGATCTAAAGTGACTGGGGCAGGGGCTTCCCTGGTGTCCAGTGGTTAACACTCTGTGCTGCCAATGCAAGGGGCGTGGGTTCAATACCTGGTCAGGGAAGTAAGATCTCATATGCCATGCAGTGTGGCCAAGAAAAAAAAATGTAATAATAATTAAAGTAAAATAAAATGATTGAGGTATGAAAAGATCTGTGAAGGGATGCACAGTGAAAATATAAATAATGGCACAGCTTTCCTCTAAACAGACTTCCACTTCTGCTTTTGTTATTATACAGGCCAAGAAAGCAGAGAGCTCACCGAAAGATGAGAGTTCAACTGAGGGCGACACGAGGGTGCACAGTGTCGGTGAGAATGGGCTAAGCCACTGTCTATGACTGTATCAGGGGAGAGATGGAATGGGCCACGCTGGGCTATCCCCATCCCTTCATCAGAATTTTTTCTCTCCCAACTCCTCCCCTAGGAAATGCTCCCATAAATTGTCAACATTCTCCTGTGCACATTTGATAGACAACTATGGTGACTGAGTTTACCAACTGGAAGTCCAGTTGCAATATTACTGGTAGAATTCTTTTTCTTGAAATCATTTTGCTTTGAAGAAGCATTCATTCTGCCTTATTTACACTCAAACCCATAACTTAAGAATTTAGATTCCATATTTAATTAAGATCTAATCTCAATCTTTGAGTTTCCCTAGTGGCTCAGATGGTAAAGAATCAGCCTGCAGTGTAGGAGACCTGGGTTTGATCCCTGGGTCAGGAAGATTCCCTGGAGAAGGGAATGGCTACCCACTCCAGCATTCCTGCCTGGAGAATTCCATGGACTGAGGAGTCCAGTGGAGTACAGTTCATGGGGTCGCAAAGAGTCAGACACAACTGAGTGACTAACACTTTCAATCTCAGTCACACACCCCAATCACAAAATTTTAAATTTCAACCAATAAAATTCTCATGGCTTATTTAACTTTTGACCAATTTGTGCAGCATGGCATTGTAGATGTCAGACTATGACCATTACAGGCTGGCCAAGAAGAACTGTTTGTTCTTTTTAAATCCACAATCCAAACTGCACAGAAATCTAGCCTATTGTGTAAAATAACCTCATACCAGAGAGTCCCACTTGAAAACCAACACATTCATTATGAGGGAGGGGATATATGTAGCCTACAGCTGATTCACCTTACTGTTCAGCAGAAGCTAACACATTGTAAAATCATTATACTCCTCTAAAAATATTGTTTTTAATTTCTAATGTTTCCCCAAATTTTCTCTTATTCATGAAAATGGAACTATCTGGGTGAATCTGAGTTTACGTACTCAATTTAGCTTTGTCCATGTTTCCCGTCCAAATTTTTCTGTTAGATTCTTGCCTGAGCTTCCAGTGCAAACGGGGACACATCTGCAAGGCTGATCAATATGGGAAACCCCACTGTGTCTGTCAAGATCCCGCATCTTGCCCTCCTACAAAACTCCTTGACCAAGTAAGGATTTTACAAAATGCTCTTTAAGGGACATCAAACGGTAGGGTGATTTGAATGAAAGTAATTTGCAATTGAAATGGACTTCCCTGGCGGTCCGGTGGTTAAGAATTCGCCTGCCGATGCAGGGGACACAGGTTCAGTCCCTGAACTGGGAAGCTTCCTCATACCCATGCCATAGAGCAGCTCAACTCATCAACAAGGGAAGCCACCACGATGAGCAGTCCGTGCACTGCAACTAGAGAGCAGCCTCTGCTCGCTGCAACAAGAGGACGCCCATAGGCAGCAGTGAAGACTCAGCACAGTCAAAAATTTAAAAATTAAGTTTAAAAAGAAGTAAATGCCCCAGTTATCATCTAATATTTAGATAATAGCCAAGAGAAACAAATGCCAACAAAATCAAAGAATTTCAACTGTGCTCCCAAATAATAATGGCATTGATGTAGGATTCATTTTGAAACTCATTCTATCCTTGGAATCCTCTGCAGTTTTTACTCTGCATTTATCCAGAGCTAAATTGTCATCATGGTGGGTATAAGTTAGTTGATTTTGGGGGGCCCGATGGGATAGTTATGGTTTTAATAGCATCCCCTACCTGACCATATTTCTGGCTCAGCAGTTGGTTAAACAGCCTTTAAGGAGCAGAGTATTTTCCCAATGAACATCCATCAACTTGAGGTTTTTCTCATGCTTATCTTTCCTAGGTTTGTGGCACTGACAATCAGACCTATGCCAGCTCCTGTCATCTCTTTGCTACTAAGTGCAGACTGGAGGGGACCAAAAAGGGGCACCAACTGCAGCTGGATTACTTTGGAGCCTGCAAATGTAAGAGTCCATCACTCCTGCCAGCTATCATTGCCAGAACAGTTTGGGGTGAACCTGAATCAAAAATATATATACATATGTACTCATATATATATAAATGGGCTTCCCTGATAGCTCAGCTGATAAAGACTCCACCTGCAATGCAGGAGACTCTGGCTCAATCCCTGGGTTGGGAAGATGCCCTTGAGGAGGCATGGCTACCCCCTTCTTGCCTGGAGAACTTCATGGACAGAGGAGCCTGGTGGGCTACAGTCCATGGGGTCTCAAAGAGCCAGATACGACTAAGTGACTAAGCGCAGCACAGCACAGCACTCATATCTATGCAGACAACATGAACAACAAAATCTAGTGTAGTACTGAATCCAGGCTGTATATTAAGATAACTGGGAAGGCTTTTTTTTTTTTTAATTAGAAGAATGGGGACTTCCCTGGTGGTCCAGTGGTTGGGATGCCATGCTTCCAATGCCAGGGACGCAGACTCCATCCACAGTTGGGGAACTAAGATTCCATGTGCCTTGCACCACAGCCAAAATAAATAAAATAAAATAAAAATGTTTAATAAAAATTAGAAGAATAATTCCCAGGCTTTAACCATAAGTGATTCTGATTTAATTGGACTGAGTTGGAACCTTGGCATTGTTCTTTCATTTGTTTTCAAAGTAACTTAGACAATTCTAATGTGCAGCCAACATTCAGAACCACTATGATAATGTTATCCACTTAATAACTTAGATGAATCACTGGAATTTTGTTAAATTAGTTGTCCTCTTCCCAAGTTAAACTCTGCCAAGAAGTTTTAACGACAACTTATTCTTCCAGACTTTTTTAAAAATTGTCTTCCTTCCCCAGGATGTTCTCAATTGTGTTTGCATCTTCTGGTCACTAAATGATTCTCCACATGGGCAGTGCTCACTAACCTCTCCTGTCCTTCCGGACACATGAGAGGAGTCAGTTTCTTAGCCCCCTTGATGTTAGATGCAGCCATATGAGTTGCTTTGTCCCGTGAAATCTGGGCAAAAATCATCCATGTGAGTTCTGGGCAGAGCATTCAAGAGCTGATATACGGGGACTTCCCTGAGGGTCCAGTGGTTAAGACTTCGCCTTCCAATGCAAAGGGTGAGGGTTCAGTCCCTGATTGGGAAGCTAAGACCCTACATGCTTCTTCGCCAAAAACTCAAAGCGTAAAACAGAAGCAATATTGCAACAAATTCAGTAAAGACTTTAAAAATGGACCACATCCCAAAAAATTCTTAAAAAAAAAAAAGATCAGATCTGACTTAAAAAAAAAAACTAATGAGCTGGTATATGGCTCTCTATGCTCCCTTCAACCTCGTGTTGAGATGATATTGAGATGGTGGCATCTCCCCCACCCTGAGCCCCAGAGAGACTGAGATGAGCAGAGTTCAGTGGCCAACTTGTATGGGACATGAGGCAGGATTGAGAAATAAATGTTTGATGTGACAGACAACATAATGGTATATTATGCTGTCTAATATATTTGAAAGTTGCTAAGAGAGTAGATCCTGAAAGTTCTCACCAGGAAGAAATAAAAAATGGAGGTCACTATATGAGGTTATGAATGTTAACCAAACTTCCTGTGCTATCCATTACACAGTATATATGTAAAGTCATTATGCTATATGCCTTAAACTTACAGGGTGGTATGTCATTATATCTGAAAAAAAAATGTTCCTTTAAGTCAAGATTTGATATTATTATCACAGTATTAGCTGATTTCTGCCTTATTCTCTTTTCTCCTAATAAATAACTCTTGTGACCTCCACCTCTGAATTCCACTCTCTGATTCTAGAGCAGTGGTTCTCAGCCCTGGCTGCACATCACAATTACTTACAGAGCTTTTAAAGCATCCTGATTCTTAGGCTCCACGCCAGATCAATCAAATCTTTGAAAGGCCACTGGCATCTGGTATGGCTTTACAATGCTCCTGGCAATTGGGTTTCAGCAGCAGGATAAAGGACCACTTTTGTGACGGAGGACCAGTGAGGATGCTATCAGTCACCGGGAGGTGTTAAGCATCCTGTTACGAGGATTTTTCCTGGGACAGGAGTAAGACTTCAAAATTAAAATCAGTGTCCTTTCTGTTCGGAACAGCTATTCCTGCTTGTACGGACTTCGAAGTGACCCAGTTTCCTCTAAGGATGAGAGACTGGCTCAAGAATATCCTCGTGCAGCTTTATGAACCTAACCCTGAACACTCAGGATATCTGAATGAGAAGCAGAGAAATAAAGTAAGTTATCCACGGTCGGCTACCCCGTCTGTCTACCGGGGAAAAAGGTATGCGGCGAGAGGGAGGTAGGGGGAGGGGTTACCTTCCTCTGCAGAACCACACCTGGTTGATACATATGGGTGAACAGAATAGTAGAGGTCATTGTTCATGCCCCAAAGTTTGGGACACGGTCAAGCCCCCCCATTTCTACACACAGGGCAGGGGCCTTAGCAAGGGATCTGGAACTTATAACCCAGAGCAAGCTCTACTGACCTCAATTCAGTGTTCATATCTTCAGGCCGAAACACATTATTTTAAATCTAAGCCTCTTTCTTGCCCTCATAGGCCAGACACAGATTTATGATGTAAGATCAGTTCAGTTCAGTTCAGTCGCTCAGTCATGTCCGACTCTTTGCAACCCCAAGGACCACAGCACACCAGGCCTCCCTGTCCATCACCAACTCCCGGAGTTTACTCAGACTCATGTCCATTGAGTCAGTGATGCCATCCAACCATCTCATCCTCTGATAAATCCATTATTAACAATGTCAGTAATATATTAAGAGGAAAAAGGGCAGAATATTGGTTCTAGAAGTTCCTAGAGGAAAACTATCATCTGATAGTTATTGAGTGTATACCAGGTACCTGGAATTGATTTACATGCTGGAAATACAACAAAGAGGACCCCCTTCCCGCCCCCCGGAGGCTCAGAGCTAAAGAATCTGCCTGCAATGCAGGAGGCGCAGGAGACCCGACTTTGATCCCTGGATTGGGAAGACCCCCTGGAGAAGGGCATGGCAACCCACTCCAGTATTCTTGCTTGGAGAATCCCATGGACAGAGGAACCTGGCGGGCTACAGTCCATCGGCTCGCAAAGAGTCGGACACGACTGAAGCGACTTAGCACGCACAATACAGCAGTGAACCAAACAAAAAATCTCTGGCTTCATGAACTTATATTCTAGGCAAATATATAGTTAAATACATGCATGCTAAATCACTTCAGTCATGTTCAGCTGTTTGTGACCCCATGGACCACACATAGCCCGCCAGGCTCCTCCGTCCGTAGGATTCTCCAGGCAAGGATACTGGAGTGGGTTGCCATGCCCTCCTCCAGGGGATCAAACCCTTGTCTCCAGCATTTCCTGACTTGGCAAGTGGGTTCTTTACCACTAGTGGCATCTGGGAAGCCCATGTATGTGTATATAATTATGGGGCTTCCCAGGTGGTGCTTGCGGTAAAGAACATTAGATACCAAACAGGGAAATTTCAGTGGAGATACCACATGGCATCACACCAAGACTAAGCTGAGATGAAACAGGCACAGGATGGAAATACTTCGACCAGGGTCCCCAACCGCCGGGATCTAATGCCTGATGATCTGAGGTGGAGCTGATGTAATGATACTAGAAATAAAGTGTACAATAAATGTAATGTGCTTGAAAGTGAAATGAAAGTATTAGTCTCTCAATTGTGTACAACTCTTTGTGACCACATGAACTGTATCCCGCCAGGCTCCTCTGTCCATGGGATTTTCCAAGCAAGAGTACTGGAGTAGGTTGCCATTTCCTTCTCCAGGGGATCTTCCTGACCCAGGGATTGAACCCAGGTCTCCTGCATTGCAGGCAGACTCTTTACCCTCTGAGCCACCAATCATTCCAAAACCTTTCCCTCCTCTGGGTCTATAGAAAAATTGTCTTCCATGAAACCTGTCCCTGATGCCATAAAGTCTGGGGACCACTGATTTAGAGGATTAAGTCATGCCAATCAGGAAGAGCAGGACTTTTCACCAACTAAGTGCCTAGATCAGTTCAGCCCTTTTCATTCAAACCTTCTCATTGTTTTAAGAAACATGATGGACATTATTTGGTTAAAAGATCAAAAAAGATTTAAATTCCTTTGAAAACCACAGGATTTTTTACTGTTAGCTATTATTCTATGTAGAAAGGCTGTAGTGTTTAGTTAGAAGGCATGTAATTTATCCTCAAATAACATTCTGGGTTTGTTTTCCTCTGTTATGTTAGAATGACTCTTCAAGTAAAGTTTAGAAGGTGATAATTCCATTACACTTGTCTGATTCTCTGATGATCATCTCCCTTCCAAAGGTCAAGAAAATTTACCTGGATGAAAAGAGACTCTTGGCTGGGGACCATTCCATTGACCTTCTCTTAAGAGACTTTAAGAAAAACTACCACATGTATGTGTATCCTGTGCACTGGCAGTTCAGTGAACTGGACCAGCATCCTCGGGACAGGTAAAAACTGTCCACCTCCCCATCACTAGGTCATGTCCCTGACATAATGGCTAGTTGTTTAAACCAAGAGAATTCTAAACAGATTTAGGAAACTTCCCACTATCCATTGGAGAACACAGAAATGCCAAACAAATATGGCTAGGAGTCTACATACAAAGCTGCTTTGAAAATAACAGAATATGGCCACACCTCTGCTTCCTAGTTCACTTGTTAGGGTCCAGCCCTCCACAGAGACTCTTTCAAGTCTTTCTCATTTTTTGAAAAAATATTTCTTTATTTGGCTGCACCGAGTCTTAGTCGCAGCATGTGGGATCTAGTTCCCTGACCAGGGATAGAACCCGGGCCCTCTGCACTACAAACTCGAAGTCTTAGCCACTGGACCACCAGGGAAGTCCCAACTCATTCTCATTCTTTTTTTTTTTTAATTATTTATTTATTCATATTTTTGGCTGTGCTGGGTCTTGTTGCTGTACAGGCTTTTCTCTAGTTGCAGCAAGTGGGGGTTTCTCTCCAGTTGTGGTACACAGGCTTCTCATTGCAGTGGCTTTCTCTAGTTGCTTCTCTAGGACTTGTGGGTTCAGTAGCTGCAGCTCCCAGGCTCTAGAGCACAGGCTCAATAGTTGTGGTGCACAGTCTTAGCTACTTCCCGGCACGCGGGATCCTCCCAAATCGGGGATCGAATGCGTGTCTTCTGCACTAACAGGCCAACTGCTTACCACTGACCCAACAAGGAAGCCCTCTTTCTCATTCTCGATCCTAAATTTGCAAGATACTGATGGATCCCACTTGGGTCAAATGCCTACATCTGGAACAATCGGGTATGGCCGGTGGTAAGAGCTAGGTTGTATAAACATGATTCTTGAAGTGCATCCTGATAAATTTAGGGTGGAGGGAGGACAGTTTCTAGTGAAGAAGGAAACCTTATGCATCGACACTCAAAAAGCTGCATCTTGCCCATAAATAGTTTATTTCATTTGTAGCTTTTCATGAACGTACTATGTATTTGCCATCCTTGGCAACCTTGTGAAAGAAAAATGCCCTTGGTGATTGGAAGAGTCCACTTTTCATACATCAATTGCTCAGTTAACTGGCTGCCATTTGTCTCGTCACAGGGTCCTGACCCACTCTGAGCTCGCGCCTTTGCGAGCATCTCTCGTGCCCATGGAACACTGCATAACGCGCTTCTTTGAAGAGTGTGACCCCAACAAGGATAAGCACATCACCCTGCAGGAGTGGGGCCACTGCTTTGAAATTAAAGAAGGTAAATCGATCATCAGCCCAGGGAGAGACGTGTGCTCTTCCCCCAGACAAGCCCTAAGCCCTGCAGTTCCCAGAGAGGTCCTGCTTGCTGTGTGTTCAGACTGCAGCCTAGAAGCCACACGGCAGCAGTGTCCTGGCTAGAACCACTGTCACTGAAGGCCATTTCTTAATCTCTGTTCCAAAGCGTCTGCCAGTGTGCTCAGTCACTCGGTCCTGTCCGGCTCTTTGTGAACCCCTGGACCGTAGCCCGCCAGGCTCCTCTGTCCATGGGATTTTCCAGGCAAGAACACTGGAGTGAGTTGCCATTCCCTTCTCCAGGAGATCTTTTCAGACCCAAGGATCAAACCCAGGTCTCCTGTGTCTCCTGCACTGGATTTTTTTTTTAAACCACTGAGCCACCTGTTCTAAAGGGTAGCAAGGGTGAATATTTAAGAGAGAAAGGCATTGAGGTCTCAGAAATTGGCTAAGCCTAAGAAAGTGATGTGAACTCCGAGAGCTGAGCCAAATCTCAGAAGGCTACCCTTCTGAGCAAGGAAGGAAGGATTTTATATCCTGCCTTAATTTGAATATTGAGCCAAACTTTAAACATTGTTTTTTTTTTTCCCATTTATTTTTATTAGTTGGAGGCTAATTACTTTACAACATTGCAGTGGTTTTTGTCATACATTGAAATGAATTAGCCATGGGTTTACATGTATTGTATGTGAAACTGAAACTCTAATACTTTGGCCACCTGATGCAAAGAGCTAACTCTTTGGAAAATACCTTGATGCTGGGAAAGATTGAGGGTGAAGGGGGCGACAGAGGATGAGTTGGTTGGATGGCATCACCAACTCAATGGACATGAGTTTGAGCAAACTCTGGGAGATAGTGAAGGACAGGGAAGCCTGGTGTGCTGCAGTCCATGGGATCACAGAGGTGGACACAACTTGGCGATTGACCAACAACAATGTGAAGGGTAAAACAGCAAGCTTGATTCTGAAAATCAGAGATGCCAGAAGAATCTTAGAATTTATTACCAACACAAAAGATTTTCACCAGTTGTGCCCAGATATAACTCCTTTAATCCAAAAGGAATTCCTCCTGCAGTAGAAGAATTTAAACTTAGACATTTATTTTGCTAGGTTATGTCTTAATCTACTTCCTTTTCTTTTCCTAAGTTACAGTCAATTTTTTTTGAGCAACCATGCTTTTAATAATCAAGATATGAAAAACAGTAAAAAATGAGCAATCAAATCTGCTTGCAGAATATAAATCAACGATGAACATCAAATCTCTAAAGCAGAGGTTTGACCCATATGTTCACAACATACATACATGTAGGATGAATATACAACCAAAAAGTAAAAGAAAAGTAAGTTCATCAAAGGTCAGAGTTTCCCCAAAAGAGGGAATCTGTGGGAACTTCACTTTAAAAATATTCTTCATGCACATGTGTGATGCCTTGACGTTGGAAAGAAAGAGTTGGAATATGAGGATTTAGTCATTTATGGATAAACAGATAAGCATTTCTCTACAATGTTTTTCTATGAGATAAACACAACTGTAGTGAGCCAAGAATGAATAAGCACCTGAAAGTGAAAGCTTAGTTGCTCAGTCACGTCTGACTCAGAACAGATGGACTGTAGCCTGCCAGCCTCCTCTGTCCATGGGGTTTTCCAGGCAGGAATACTGCAGTGGGTTGCCATGCCCTTCTCCAGGGGATCTTCCCGATGCAGGGATTGAACCCGGGTCTCTTGCATTGTGGGCAGATTCTTTACTGTCCTTGCCACCAGAGAAGCCTGGTGACATAAGCATAATTGTAATGAGCAAACAATGAAGAAGCACCTCACTCTGTGTATTAGTTGGCTACTTTTTGCATAACGAAATGCCCTAAAGATTAGAAGTTTAAAACCTCCCTCACAGTTTCTGAGGATCAGGAATCCCTGGTAGAATTCCCTGGATGGATCTGCTTTAGGGTCCACGCTGAGGATCCATGTTTTAGGATCCGCTCGAAGCTCACTTACATGGCTGTTGGCAGGAGCCTTCAGTTCCTCACCACGTGGCCCTTTTGACAGTGCTGCTCCTAACATGGTATCTGGTTTCCTCCAGAGCAAGTGATCAGAGAGAGACAGAAAGAGAGAGAGTCCAAGACAGAAGCTGCATGTCTTTTAGGACTAATCTCAGAAGTGACGTTTTTCTGCCATATTTTTGCTTGTCACACAGTCAAACCCTGCCACAGTGTGGGAGGAGATCAGAGGAGATGGGGATCACTGGGGGCCCTCGTGGAGACTGGCAACCACCTACTGTTTGCACCCTATTAGCATCATAGGAAGTTAATGGGAAGTTAAAAACCAGACTCAAGCAAATAATGCCAATTTCCTTTCTGACATCTATTCTATAAACACAGAATAGGTGTTATCTGTATGGCTCAGAAGGTAAAGTGTCTGCCTGCAATGCGGGGGACCTAGGATTGATCCCTGGGTAGAGAAGATCCCCTGGAGAAGGAAATGGCAACCCACTCCAGTATTCTTGCCTGGAAAATTCCATGGATGGAGGAGCCTGGTAGGCTACAGTCCATGGGGTCTCGAAGAGTCAGACACGACTGAGTGACTTCACTTTGACTTTCATAGATATCTAACATCTATCTTACACACTCACATACATCCCTAAAAAAGTTAACACAGTTTTTTCCAATTCCCATGTTAAAAAGACAAAAATGAAAAAAAAAAAAAGACAAAATGTACCCAAGCTGGCCGCCCCCTCCTCTCTACCAGAATCAAGGGAAAAACTTAGCTGAGACAGGACATATTTATGCACTCCCTCTTAACACACATGATTTTAAGGGAGCAATCCGAAGGCAAATTTAAACAGAGCTATTTCAGGAACCCAGTTGCCCTTCACTGTTTGTTTTAAAGCTTCTGGCAGCTCTTCAGCACGTGGGCCCACTCAGGCCTTGTGCTGGCTGATTGTCTGGGAGAAGTAGGAAGAGCTTCAAGTTCAGCCACTCGAAAAGCCCCTAATGATCTTGTGTTTGTTCACTGTGGTTTGGCCATGATTATGTTATTTAGAAGAAAGGAAAGATTTATCACAGAGTAAGCCAATAAAGCAGATATTAAATATTCAGTCAGAACATGTAAACAAGTACTGATTTGGGATGCAGCTAGGGGAAAGAAAAAAAAGGCTATTTGAAGGCATACCCTTTACTCCCTTAGGACTGAGAAATCCACAGGGCAAAATACATTTTAGCCAGTGTTGTCCTGAATTTTAACTTCCTTTGCTCTGAACTAGATGTGCTCAAATATTCCAGCTCTGTCATTAACGAGCTCTGCGGATTAGGGCATGCCACTTAACCTCAGCAAGTCTCATTTTCCTTGTGTGTAAAATGGGATTCAGTGCAGAGGTGAGGAGTCTTATTTATTGAATACCTATGGCATACCATGGACTGACACATATCCATGTGAATCTTTGGGAAAACCTTCCAAGTAAGACTAATAGGGGAAACAAGTCACATCATGCTGGTCCTACTAAGCCAGTTAAAGACGTTACCCTCAGAGTATTGGAGGATCACCAAAGTGCTTAAACAGGGCAGTGATTTCCCTGGATTTGTATTTAAGAAAGATTCTTCTGGTTACATTGTGGATAAGCCAGAGAACGCCTGTGGTAAATCCAGGCAAGAACTGATGAGAACTTGAGTTAGGGCAGTTGTTCAGTTCAGTTCAGTCGCTCAGTCGTGTCCGACTCTTTGCGACCCCATGAATTGCAGCACGCCAGGCCTCCCTGTCCATCACCAACTCCCGGAGTTTACCCAAACTCATGTCCATCAAGTCAGTGTTGCCATCCAGCCATCTCATCCTCTGTCGTCCCCTTCTCCTGCCCCCAATCCCTCCCAGCATCAGGGTCTTTTCCAACGAGTCAACTCTTCGCATGAGGTGGCCAAAGTATTGGAGTTTCAGCTTCAGCCTCAGTCCTTCCAATGAACACAGGACTGATCTCCTTTAGGATGGACTGGCTGGATCTCCTTGCAGTTCAAGGGACTCTCAAGAGTCTTCTCCAACACCACAGTTCAAACGCATCAATTTTTCGGTGCTCAGCTTTCTTGACAGTCCAACTCTCACATCCATACATGACCACTTTAAAAACCATAGCTTTGACTAAATGGACCTTTGTTGGCAAAGTAATGTCTCTGCTTTTTAATATGCTGTCTAGATTGGTCATAACTTTCCTTCCAAGGAGTAAGCGTCTTTTAATTTCATGGCTGCAGTCACCATCCGCAGTGATTTTGGAGCCCAAAAAAATAAAGTCCAACACTGTTTTCACTGTCTCCCCATCTATTTCCCATGAGGTGATAGGACCAGATGCCATGATCTTAGTTTTCTGAATGTTAAGCTTTAAGCCAACTTTTTCACTCTCCTCTTTCACTTTCTTCAAGAGGCTTTTCAGTTCCTCTTCACTCTCTGCCATAAGGGTGGTGTCATCTGCATATCTGAGGTTATTGATATTTCTCCCAGCAATCTTGATTCCAGCTTGTGCTTCTTCCAGCCCAGCGTTTCTCATGATGTACTCTGCATAGAAGTTAAATAAGCAGGGTGACAATATACAGCCTTGACGTACTCCTTTTCCTATTTGGAACTCAGTTGCACAGTCATGTCTAATTCTTTGCAACCCCATGCACTGTAGCCTGCCAGGCTCCTTTGTCTGTGGGATTTCCCAGGCAAGAATACTGGAGTGGGTTGCTATTTCCTTCTCCAGAGGATCTTCCTTCCCCAGGGATCCAACACATGTGTCCTGTGTCTCCTGCATTATAGGTAGATTCTTTACTGTTGAACCACCAAGGAAGGCACAACTAGCTGCAGAGCTTTCCTGAACGTATACATGTCATCATGTCATTGGTCCACCCCTGAGGATGCTGACTCAGGAGGTCAGGAGCTAGGCCCGAGGATATGCATTTTTTCAAGTTTCATGGGTGATGTTAACAGCCTTCCAGGACTGAGAACCACTGTCGTACTCCTTATTCATGGCTTCTCTGATGCCCTAGTTCTAACATTGTTTATGTTACTGCTCTGACTATTTTCTAAAAGTATGTTTTGTGTTTGTTTTTTACAGAAGACATAGATGAAAATCTCCTGTTTTGAATTAAGATTTGAAAGAACTCAAAAAACCCAGCCTCCTCCTTTGTTCTGACCACTTCTGAAGTATATCCAGTGTGATACTTGTAGATCTATATTTAGCAAAATGCTTGCATGTCTGAGAAGACAATGAGAGTAATTGCTTGATAACAGTATAGGCACCAGGCATTTACCATTCGCTTTGGAAATAAAACTTTAAAATTAAAGAGTCGATATATGTAAAATATTGCACACTGTGAACAGGAGTTTAACTCATTACTCTCTGCATCCATTTATAATATACTTAAAGATTATAAAGCTAAAAAAATACACTCATTTTGTCCATAGTATCATATGCACTTCAAAAAAGTGAAATAAGTCTCTTTGTTACTGGTGTGTGTTATTGTCAATATCTTAATATCCTAATAAAAATCCATATAAATCCAATGCTTAATGAAGTTTATTTACAGTCATTTACTTAAATAATTATATGTGAATGACCAACCCAGGGCTCATAGTTCATATCAAATCACACCTTCTAGAACTTATTACTTAAAAAAAAAGTGAGAATAAGTTCATCAGTACCATTTTTCTAGATTTCCAGTTTGTTTTGTCTTTCTGATTTACTTCACTCTGTATAATAGGCTCTAGGCTCATCCACCTCATTAGAAATGGCTCTGATGGCAGTGGAGACACAGACATAAAAGAGCAGACTTGTAAACACGCTGGGGGAAGGAGAGGGTGGGACAAGTGCAGAGAGTAGCGTTGAAACAGACATTACCATGTGTAAAATTAGACAGCCAGTGGGAATGATATCAGGGGACTCATATCTGGTGCTCTGAGACAAGCTCTAGGGGTGGGATGGGGTGGGAAGTGGGAGGGAGGTTCGAGAGAGGGGACATATGTATAACTTTGGCTGATTCATGTTGATGTATGGTAGAAACCAACACAGTATTGTAAAGCAATTCCCCTCCAATTAAAAATAAATAAATTAAAAACAAAAAGAAAAAGTGTGAGTGTGGTTGAGGGGGACATTTCCTATGGCAAACAAATATTCAGTTGTGAAATGGTAGCTGCTCATCAATGTTTTTTGTCATAATTTAAGTTTAAACAGAAAAAAAACTAAAGCCAAGCACTCTTCACCAAATTCAGTTTAAAATAAGAATGATTATACACTGCTTGATACAACTAATTTTAGCTTCTGTGCGGGTGTGCATGTGTGTCTGATAAAAGGGAGGCCCAGCAAAATCTCTACACATTTCATGTGCTCAAAATAAAGAGACTGTAAAGATAACAGACAGTGAAGAGCCCTGAGGTGTCTTGATGTCCGGTGTAGTCAGAGATGAACAGTACTAGTGTCATTTGATAGCAGGACAATATGTCCTAAGAGAAAACTGGTATCTTTATTTGAGCTCTTCTTTAGTAACTATTAACACAGTAAAAGCCGGATTGTACAAAGAAGATACCAAAACAAGTTTAACAAGGGCTGAAACAAGGCAATAAAAAAACCTGTCACCCAGTTAAATATCTACTTACCATATTTTTTTAATATAAAATATCTTTTACATATTATCCTATCTTCTTTTTTTTTTTTTTCTGGCTATGCAACTTGACACTTGGGATCTTAATTCCCTGAATAGGAATTAAACTCATGCATCCTGCAGCAGAAGTGCCATCCTAACCACTGGACCACAGGGAATTCCCCACTTTTCCCATCTGAAATGGAATATGTCAACGCAATTGCCTTTTTCAAACAGTCAAAACTGTTTTTGTTATTTAGGGACTTTTTGTAATAGTCACTGAGAGAATATTCCCCTAGGAGTTTTATCTGAAGGATACTTGTGGAAGAGTTTGTTGTTTTTTTTTTCAGAATTATATTTATTATCTCTTTTCTTAGTTCAATGACTCACTTGTTCTTAATCAGACCACATCGCATCAGGTCATGTCTAAATAATTAAGTTCACTGTGATTAATCAAAATCTAATTAAGCTAGCCAGTGGGAATTTTCTCTATGACTCAGGGAACTCAAACTGGGGTTCTGAGACAACCTAGACAGGTGGGATGGGGTGGGAGGTGGGAGGGAGGTTCAAGAGGGAGGCAACATATGTATACCTATGGCTGATTCATGTTGATGTATGGCAGAAGCTAACACAATATTGTAAAGTAATTATTCTTCAATTAAAAATACATTTAAAAAATCTAAGCATTGTTTATAATTTCTTTCAACTACAGAAATAATTTAGAAATTATCCCCAAATTCAAAATGTTATTTATGTGGGCCTACACAGAAATATCATGGAAGGTCCTAACTAATTAGAAACCAAGTTTCTATTTGCACGTTTGTTCAGAATAGTAAAATTAAAAGACCTGATTTACTATTTTTAATGTTTTAAGTATTTTAAATATTTTTAAATAATGAAAGTGATCTTAATGCTAAGGATACTACCTAAATATTTACTAAAAATGTTTTATTTGAAAAAAACCTTCATTTTGAAATAAAAATATTATTTAATAATAGAAAGCTTTAGAACTTTAAAATATTTTGTTAAGGCTCCCACAGGTATAACTGCCTTGGGTGATATATTGTAAAAGCACTTTAATATCCTTAATAATCACAATTTTTGATTGTGAGTTGTTTGCCATAAAGACATTAATCCCAGCCAAGGAGATTCAGTTATTTCTCAGTAATCAGTCTTTAAGCCTATCTCTGTGTAATTTAAATTCTTTAGATATTGGTGTTCCTAGTGTAGAACCAGTTATTCAATTTAGCTTCAAATTCTGTGACTCATATTACCCATGACCACAAAGGCATTAGCAATATGGCTTAAATATGAGATGGGCATAGAGATTCTAGATCACACAGCTCTTTGAATTTGTTGCCCAAGGACCATTTGAAGCGAAGGTAATTGAAAAGACACAGTATACTTTGGACTGATTCTATTGCACTTGGTAAAAGTTATTGTGTTGGATAATTTAATGAATAGGTCCACTTTTCAAAGGAAGAAAAAAAAGTCAAGGGTTCGAATCCAGAAGGAAGAAAAATGCAAAGAAGAAACATGAAAAGGGGAAAGGGAGATGAGCTGCCTAAACTCGGGCAAAGTGAAATAGCCAAAGATAAATCTGAGTTGTTTCAAGTACATATGTGGTAAAATAGTTGAAGAGTGACTTGCATATCAAGAGATATAACTTGCTTCACATGCTGGAGACAAGTCTTAATAGGAGTATGATGAAATTGATTTTTCTTCCAAAATTCAATTCCAGAGTACAGTGATTTGGTTTGAAACTCCTAAGGTAAGTTAATCTGAATTAAATGTGATTTAAGATCATAAAAAGGTCTACTTTCAGAAACTGCTGGCCAGTAAAGATCACATTGACTTGCTTTATTGAATTTATTCATAATGTGCATTTTCTCTACCAATCCAAAATGCCTTTCAAGACTTTTCCCGTATCATTTTCTTCTTGAGAAATTGTAATTTTCAGTATTACCATGTGAAGACCTCGTAAATCTCATGGGGGTAGAAGCTCAAAGTGGATTTATTTGTATACTTTATTTGTATACATAAGAAATCTCACTTGAGCCAGTGGTTCTATATCTCTGATAATAAGCATGCTATGATATTGATGTTTGATATGTGGGTAGAGATCACAAATTTGAATAACTTTAGAGACCAAGCAGTACATGTTGAACCATGAAATTACAAAGAAGAGTGGTAAGAGTAAGTAATGTTATGAACCAGAGAATGCACGTCTTGTCTAAACACCATTTTCAAAGCACTGACGTAGGCTTACAAAACCTGGATCTAGGGGCAGAATTTAGTCTCACTATCACTATTTCAACACCTCTGACTAAACAGTCTATTAATAATAGGGATAAGAACTGGAAAAAAACTAAAAATGATCTCCTAACCCTTCAATTCCAGACTCTTCCTTCAGAATGAAATGTCTCCTCCTGGCTGGCCTTTTGATTACAGCCACTGCTTTACCCATCCCTGTGAGTACTGCCCTCAATTTTCCATTCCATTTCTGTCCTAGAAACAGTACCTAGAAAGCACTTCCTGTATCTTTTCATTTCATGGAAGAGGAAAGTGAGACTCCAGGAAAATTGTAGAACTAGGAATTTACCACTCTTCATCAGTCCGAGGGTCTTCCCAGTTCAAATCCCAGCTCTGCATGCCATTTGCAAGCCGCATGTATATTTTTAAAATATATATATGTACGTAGATAGATGTATATTTGGTTGAGCTGGTCTTAGTTGTGGCACACAGTATCTTTGAGTTCATTGTGGCATGTGGAATATTTTAGTTGCAGCATGCGAACTCTTAGTTGCGACATATGGAATCTAGTTCCCAGACCAGGGATCGAACCCAGGTCCCCTACATTAGGGGCACAAAATCTTAGCCACCAGGCCACCAGACCACCAGGGAAGTCCTGCAAGCTGTATGACCTTAAGTGAGGAAATAACCCATGGCTTCCTAGCCTGTGTCATGAGTTGTAAGAACTACCTCAGAGCTCTGCAAGGATGATAAAAATGCATCAATGCACTAAAGAGTCCTAATTGGAATATAAGAAGCTCTCAAATAAACTTTGCAATATAGAGCAAGTATTCCACACTGACCTAAGTCTTAATTAGGCAGTTTAAATTGTTTCATTTGCAGTATCCTCACCCCAACTCGTCTCATGTTGACTATAGACTTGCTTCCTCATCTATACAAATGAGATCTATAAGTTTAAGCTGTGTTTATTATGATCTGAATATGTAGGGCACTGAGGAAGCAGGAGGACTTCCCAGGTGGCACTAGTGGTAAAGAACCTGCCTGCCAATGCAGGAGACCCAAGAGACGTGGGTTCGAACCCTGGGTTGGGAGGATCACCTGGAGTAGGAAATGGCAACCCACTCCAGTATTCTTGCCTGGAGAAGCCCATGGACAGAGAAGCCTGGCGGGTTACAGTCTAGGGGGCCCTCAAAGACTCCCACAGGGCTGAGCTGACTGAGCACAGCTATGAATAGTAGGCAGGAACACCTGCTCCCTGCACATTTTGTAACAGAGGAGCTCTCAGAGAAGTGAGGAAGCTTTCACAATTTTATTTGGGGATACCAAATTTAAGTTTACATTTCCATACTCCCTCTACTTTGGACTTTGAGAATTAAATTGAGAACACTGTTGATTTGCAGATAAAGAGGCATGCGATATGTAACTAATTGTATGAAATGTACAGATGAATATTCTTTGGAAATAAGTTTAAAGGTAAAAAGTACAATGTCTACATCACTGGACAAAATTAATTCAATTTCTCTATTAGACTCAACTGCTTTTTTTGTTTTTTTTTGTTGTTGTTGTTGTTTTTTTATTTTTTATTTATTTATTTATTTATTTTTTTATCACAACCATAGTGTATCTTTTTTTTTTTTTTTTTACATGTATTCCCCATCCCGGTCCCCCCTCCCACCCAATCCCTCTGGGTCTTCCCAGTGCACCAGGCCCGAGCACTTGTCTCATGCACCCAACCTGGGCTGGTGAACTGTTTCACCCTAGATAATATACGTGTTTCAATGCTGTTCTCTTGAAACATCCCACCCTCGCCTTCTCCCAGAGTCCACATGGAATATTACTCAGCCATTAAAAAGAATTCATTTGAATCAGTTCTGATGAGATGGATGAAACTGGAGCCCATTATACAGAGCGAAGTAAGCCAGAAAGATAAAGACCATTACAGTATACTAACACATATATATGGAATTTAGAAAGATGGTAACGATAACCCTATGTGCAAAACAGAAAAAGAGACTCCTATGTATAGAACAGACTTGTGCTTTTTTTTTCTTTAGACTTTTTAGTTTATATTGGGGTATAGGTGATTAACAATGTTATGATAGTTTCAGGTAGACAGCAAAGTGATTTAGTCATCCACCCATCCATCCATTCTACCCAAACCCCCCTCCCATCCAGGCTACCACATGACGTTGAGCACAGTTCCCTGGGCAACACAGCAGATCCTTGTTGGTTATCCATTTTAAATGTAACAGTTTGTACATTAGACTCAACTGCTTTTTATTCCAGAGGGAAAGGTACATTGCTGATGAGTATAATGCTTGATAGCGGCTTGCGGCCTGTTCTCATTTAGAATCAAATCTCTTTGTAATGAATAAGGCATTGCCATATGTTGTTTTACCTTGTTGCTGTTGTTGTTTTACAAGCTTGAACAATCTGGAGGAAGTTCCAGTGCTCAGGTAAACTTCTGGTTGTATTTTCAAATGATATGTTCATCATTTTAAGTTTTTAAATGTTTGAAATGACTGATATCATGTCTCTTGTTACAGAGATTTAACTTTTACCCACCCCAAGGAGCACCATTTTTCCCTCAGATCCCATTTCCCCCACCTGTACAACTGCCCCTGGTAAGCATGGGTTTGGGGAATCTCAAGTTACAAAAAGTGGTTATTAGTCAGATGACGGTTATAACACATTTTCCAGATTTGGACACAGACATAAAAGGCAGCTGCTATTCACCACTCCCTCCCTGCACAGCTCACAGAGTGTGACCCGGGGACCAGAGTGATCAGTGTGACCAGAGTGTCCCCCTCCAGGGCTTCAGTGACTTCTTCCAATTTCTTCCTACACTTGCGATCAAAGAGGTGTTTATACTGAATTACCTCGACTATGATGAGCTTAGTTACTTTCAGGAAGGGAATACTGACTTTTGTCTATATTACCTGTTCTTTTTCTCCTTTTAAATCACCTTGTTGCCTTTTCTAAAAAGTTTTTTCTCCTCCCCACCCCTAATTTTTTCTCACAGGTCAAACAATGTAATTATTTTGCTCTTATTGTACCCTCTTCAACCTCTTACTATCTGAATTCTTACAACATCTTGTTTAATAAAGGCCAGAACAACGCTAACCACATAACAGAAACACCTTTATTGGGACAGACAGGATTCATTTGGCTAATATTTACTGTCTGCCAGATAAAGTGGTCTATAGTGATTGCTAGAAAAACAAAAAATATGAGTAAGCTTGCAATCTGAAAAGAAAAAGAGATTCATAAATGAAAAAAAAAATGCATTGAGCTGACCAAAAAATTTTGCTCAGGTTTTTCTGTAACATCTTAATAGAAAAACCCCGATGAACTTTTTGGCCAACCCAATAATTTGCTAAGTGCTTCTAGATGCAAATACAAAACCAACTGACTTAGGCTGTGTGTCAGAGGCCATTCACAGAGGAGAGGCAGCCATGCCAGGTTATGAGATGTGAGTGAGGCACGCCAGGCACGAACAGTCAGTGCTGAGGTCGCGGCAACTCAGGGAACAACCAGGGCAATGAGGCTACAACACGGGCCGGGGCATGAAAAATAAACAATAGTTAGGCAATGTTGCTTTGAAAAGTTTATACACATTTTAAAATACCATCTTGTTTAACTTCTTGTCTATCATCTAAATACTTTTAAAGTAGAAACACAACTTTGCATAATTTTTTTTCATATTTAAATGTAACAAAACACCTTCCCTTTGCTTATATTTAATTTCAAACTGTTTTGAAATTTCAAAATTCCGCTTTGAGTAGGCTTTTGTAAACTGTCACTAACATGACTGTCCTCAATGGAACATTCGTTCCCTTTAATGTTTTCACATGGCCTAATGGATTCTTAGGCTTCCCAAGTGGCACTCGTGGTAAAGAACCTGCCTGCAATGCAGGAGACCTAAGAAACGCAGGTTCAATCCCTGGGTCAGGAAGATCCCCTGGAGGATGGCAACCCACTCCCATATTCTTGCCTGGAGAATTCCATGGACAGAGGAGCCTGGTAGGCTACAGTCCATGGGGTCACAAAGAGTCAGACACAACCGAAGCATAAGGACTTAGCCTGCATGCAATGGACTCTTAAGACACTAAATTTCTAAGTTCTTGCATTTATAACTGCTATTTATTTTGTTTCCAGGCACAGTTTTTTTTTTTTTTTTTTGGCTGAAATCCAGTAAGATTTGTTTTAAATTGATGTAAAACCCTGGAGCCTTGGTTTATAATTTGAATTTATTAATTGCTACTAAAATCATATGCCTAAAATTATGTAAATCTATGTGTAATTCTTGCCCAGAGAATTCCATGGACAGAGGGAGCCTGGTGGGCTACAGTATACAGGATCGCAAAGAGCTGGACACGACAGAAGCAATTTAGCACACACATGTGGTAATAAAAAGAATTACTAGTATTTGAAACAGATGCTCTTCCTTCCACCAGATGGCAGAACAGTATTAAAAACCAGGCAAAGATGGCCCGCATAAGGCGGGCTTCTGGGTTTTAGGTTTGACTAATTAAGCAACATAAGCATACTTTTTAAAAGAAAAAAATGACTTGAAGTTCACTCTAGAGGCTAATTTCAACCAACTAGAAGGTGGGCTCCATGAGAGCATACAATTGCTCAATAAATACTGGGTGGGTGGATGGACGGATGAGTAATCAATGAACACATGAGGGAAAAAAGCTAAAACAAAATGTTCTGCTTTGTTTTATTCACAACTCACTTCCCCTCTCCCCCCCCCTTTTTTTGCAGATTCCAATTCCTCTTCCTTTTCCATTTCCTAATAATCCAAATCAGGTAACTATACTTAAAGTTTTCCTTTAAGAAAGTATTTAAATGAGTACAAAACAAAAAACTTGAAAACTCTTGAGATTCATTTGGAAAGGAAGTTGATACCAAAAATAAAGGTTCTCATTATCCTTTGGGGACCATTAGTGGGAACTATTAGTGAAGCCTCTGAACTAGATTTAAGGTTATGGTTATGGTATAAAAGGATTATGTAAATTTTACTTTTGACAAGACTTTACTGGATGAGGAAAAATTACACAGAATGACAAAGTCACAAGCCAAAAAACAGTGTATAACACAGCATATTAATTCAAAACTTTTAACGATACTTCTATTACAATTATAGGAAATTATATTTTTAAAGTTGTGAAGTTGTTGGGAATTTCCTGGTGTCCAGTGGTTAGAACTTGGCACTTTCACTGATAGGCCCAGGTTCCATTCCTGGTCAAGGAACTAAGATTCTGCAAGCTGTGAGTCTTGCCCCCCCCCAAAAAAAAGATCCCCAAATATAGTCTTTTTTCCAACCTCGTAAGCGTAAGTTTCATCATCTTTCCAAGAAATCCCAGCTACATTTGCAGTCAACAACAACAACAACAACAAAAATTTGGACTATATGTTTCCAGAGATAGCAGATGTGAAGGCTGAGTGGGTACCATGGCATGGGGGGAAGGGGGAGACTTAAAATATCAGTGACTGTCCATCTTACTGATGTAATTTTATATATGCTAAGAATTCCAAAAAGCTTGTTTTCATTAATCAAGTTATTATAAACTATATAACATACAAAAGATAAAATGCTGAATTATAACTTCTTGATTATTTGATTGTATCTTCTTTATTCTAGATCCTGACACTTAATGATCTCATAGCGGTAAATACTGCTCTGTTAATCTATAAAGTTTATAAAAAACACTACATTCAACACCTACAACAACACATTACATTTAAGATGAGCCAGTTCATCATTCAAATTACTGTCTTTATTAATCCAGTTCATTTGGAAATGAAATAAAGCACAGTTGTTAAGTTCAAAGCCAGAAAGCTATCTCAATGCATGCAAATAGTTCTACATTCACTTATTCATTGCCTGCAAACTATAAACTGACAAAATAACCTGTTCTATCATTGATGAGGATGAAGGTGAATAGTCAAAAGATTTAAGAGATATAGAAGAAACTACTTTAGGAGAGATGAAATAGACTTGACTATTTCTTCACTAATGAATCATTTGCATAAATGCATAATATATTATAATAAAACCTAAATCCCAGTAGATAATTTTTTACAGAACGGCACAAAGTTCAACTTTTTAATGAAGCCCTTTATTGACATAATTATTTTGAATCTCAGTTTATGAAAACACAGGTAAAACACTTGGGAGTTAAAAAAGAGAAAACTAAAAAATTTCATTTCCCACATACTTTGCACACAAACATTTTCTGAAATCTAGACACATCTCACAATGGATATATTTAACCTGGGATATCTTTTTCTTTAAGATGCATCATTAACTAAATGGTATACTTTATAGTTGATGGCATCTTAGAATTAGAGACCTGCAGTATTTCATAAAAGTGGCAGAAAGTTAGGCCTAATCATTTTGTGCCTGTGGTAAAACTTTTCAGGATTTGTCTATACAGATTATTTAAAGGCAATCATCTTGAGGAATATTTAAGTGTTCCAAAAACTTTAAGGTCAAACTAAATAAGAGCGAAAGCCAAGTTTTAATTAGTGCTCTTTCTACAATCCACTCTAAGCATTATGACAGTCCGTTTCCAAACGTAAATCATAAAAATTCTAGCATACTCCTAATCATGTTAGAATTTATATGTATACATATATATAGGAATACATATTCTAAAAATGTTTGGGGAAACTACTGTCAATAATTAATTATTGATGATTCCAAAATTGGCGAGTTCACCTTCACGTCAAAACATGGCTAAAAGAGCATTGGCCTGTGGTGGGTAAGTCTAGATTCTAAGCTCATCTTTAAATTAGCAGTGTGACCTTGGGGAGATGTATTGATTTACCTCCAAAATCTCTTCCAGTGAAAATACTGACTCCTCACACATACGACTTATTCAAAAGTTACCAAATCTGATTTGGTAATACCTACACTTTATTTTTCTGAACTTTATTTAAGGGCATTGTTCTTGCCTGAGAATAAGCAGATCAGTGTTTAGCTTACACAATCTTGCATATATGTTGGGATGGACAGCACAATAAATAGAGGCCTTTGCCTTTTTGACACAGTGGTCAATTCCTCAAGCAAGCTGCCAGTCTCTTAAAACAGGACTACATGAAAGCTACAAAGCAATACTTAACCAGTGAAACTGCTCGCATGAGCAAACCCTTGAAGCAAAATCATAGCTGTCCTAAAATTCTGGTTCAAGTATCATTCACACAGGGAATTAACACATAATTTAAGAAAGACAGCACTTGTATGTAAGTGTATACAGCCAGTTTCTCAACCATTCACATCAATTTTCTGTATTTCAGATATAGTGAATACCATTACAAGGCAGTTACAAAAAAACAGTTCTATGAACTAAGGGAGTTCAAATCTAAATATTGCATATTCATTTTAAAATCTTATATCGCATAAATAAAACATAAGCAGCAAAATGGAATTTTCAGCAAAAACAAAGATTTTCATATAGAAAATATTTTAGCTTACATACATACTAAGTTAAAAATAAGCTAAAAGGTAAACCCATTGTTTTCACTGATCCTTGGTACTTTTCTTTCACAGTTAATCATTTCTATCTTGAACCAACTTGGGGTAAGTAAGCATTTTTAAGCTACTATAAACTACAAATCTACTTAATGGGCTGAAGCTATCTCAATAATTTTTTTTTAGGGCTTCTTTGGGTAAGACTTTTTTGCTATGGTTATACTGATAAAAGCAAGTGATATTTAATCTCCACAAAGGTAAGAATAATTCTTCTGAACCATAAAAATTTATGGCAGAATGGAACCCAAGCAATCTACCTAAGGTAAAGCTCATGAGTTATAAGCTCATTTTCCTCCAAGATCTTTAGATCAGAATTTCAGCAGGTCTAAAAAGGTATTCTTTTCATAATGCCCACAGCATTTGACAAAATTTCAGCTTACAGAAATTAGGTTAAGAAATTTCAAACAGTAAATTTTACCTCAAGCTTATTTTTGTCTTATGGACAAATCATAGTTAACAGTGAGAAAAGCCCGCTCTGAAACTACCAAATCTAGAAATGCTCTCATCTCCAGGCAAGGCAACAAATGTCCTTAACACAAAAGCCTCAGCACTCTTGATGGAAACTCTACAAACCTTGAGACTTCTACTCTGATTCTCAGCCAAGTTTGCTTTCATTTAAAATATATATGAGACCAAAAAGGTATATTCCTTTTAAATATCTGAATTCATGTCAAATAAAAATTAAAATTGATGCTTTTGAACAGTGGTATTGAAGAAGACTCTTGAGATTCTCTTAGATAACAAAGAGATCCAACCAGTCCATCCTGAAGGAGATCAGTCCTGAATATTCATTGGAAGGACTGATGTTGAAGCTGAAACTCCAATACTTTGGCCACCTGTTGCAAAGAACTGACTCATTGGAAAAGACCCTGATGCTGGAAGGGATTGGGGGCAGGAGGAGAAGGGGATGACAGAGGATGAGATAGTTGGATGCCATCACCAACTCGATGGACATGAGTTTGAGTAAACTTCGGGAGTTGGTGATGAACAGGGAGGCCTGGCGTGCTGCAGTCCATGGGTCTGCAGAGTCGGACACAACTGAGCAACTGAACTGACTAACTGAAAATTATATACAGTATGTATTTATTTTAACTTATCTCAAGAGAAACTGATGAATCAAAATATTCTCAATATGAATTTTGAGAAAGAAACTGGATTTCACCCAAGATTTCCTTCTGACAAAGCTTCATTGCCCCAAAGTACTTACTCTGTGTTTCTTACCACTTCAAATGATCTTATCAGGCCACTAAGGGTGAAGTGAGAGGAATTAAGCTCTGTGTTGCAGAAAAGACAACAGCATTTAGGTATAAAAGAACCACATTATTTTCTATCTCCCAACACACATGACTGTACCAATACTAATCCATCAATATTAAATAAACATAATATGGGAGACATGGGAGGAAGCAAGAAAAAAATGATGGCAAAAATACCTAGTAATTATAATCTATATTGTTTGACAGAAATAATTCTCTTACTACTTGGTCAGAAGTTATACGGTGAGTAAAATCTCCAAATATCTTTTTTTTTAATTATTTATTTAGCTGCGTCAGGTCTTAGTTGTGGCTGGCACTTTGAAACTTTAGTCTTCATTGTGGCTTGCAGAGTGCTTTTTTAGTTGCAGCATGTGAACTCTTGATTGCAGCATGTGGAATCTACTTTCCCGACCAGGGATCAAACCCAGGCCCGCTGTGCTGTGAGCATGGAGTTTTAGCCACTGGACCACCAAGGAAATCCCTCCAAGTATCTTTTAAGCATTATTATACATTGTAAATACTTTTATCCTAAGAGTTTAATAGCCTCAGATTGTGCCCATACTGATGTTAATAATATGATTAAAGTAGATGTAAACAAGACCAAATAAATTACAAGTGCTTCTTCAAATAATGTACTTTAAAATCAATATATTTATTAAAACTTCACAAATATTTTGGAAAATAACAGCAACCACCATAAGTCCTTATACTGTAAGACAGAGCAGCATTTAGCCTCTGAAAGTGGTTAGAAATTTTAGGTGCCCTCTTTAGCAGATTTAGTATCTTGCTTCTATTTGAGTTTGAAATGCTTTAAAGTCTTAAGAACACCTGCTACCAAGACAAACACTGGGTGCAACCACTCATCCGTAGGTTAAGATATTATCAAATTGTCTCTGGGCCATGATTATGCCAACAAGTTCAGTAAAACACTAGGCAAATCAGATGTGGCCCTTAAATTTCAAGTAACAAGCCATAGATGTACTATGGATAACATGAGTATTGCTTAAGTAATAAAGAATCTACCAAACTACAAACTTAAAGTAAGAAATAATAAAAGCTTCGTAACCTTAGTAAGGAATACAAAAGACAGAGAATTGTTTCTGGGACCTAGCAAAACCCAGCTCTGTTGCTTACTGAATAAACCTTGGAGCAACCTCTCTAAATTTCTGTGAAGTGGAAATAATAACCATCTAACTTCACAGGATTCTTGTGAGGATTGAGAGATATAATATAGATATTCAAGAAATGGTATCCACACTATTTATTTTACTAAGTGTCTCTAAAAAACAAAAATGTTCCTTATATGTAAAATATAAGAAAAGCAAATGTGAAGGCAATATCACCTATTATAGGAGCAGATATTCCTCCAGAAATGTCTTAAACTAAAATTTTAATCTGTTTTTTCTCTATTATAGATGGTGCTGGATACTTACAATGAGATTATCTACTTCTACCCTATCTACAGTGTATAGCAGTTTTATCACTTTGCATAGTTTATAAATGTTCCAATGAAAACTATAAAATGCAACAAAAAATTTATTATCTATGGATCATGTGCTTTAGTTATTCTTTAAAGATAATTTTTAATATAACCTAAAATCTTTACTAATGTCAGTTTAGATGCATCAAAACTATTAAAACATAAGTAAATGTCATTCTTCAGGCAAGTACTCAAGCTTTTTCAAGAGCTTTTGTGAGCAGCTTGTTCTAGAAAATCCTATCCAGTGTCAGTAAGAGGCAACTTCTTCCTGTCAAACAGTGAAAGTAGAATCAAATTCTTTCACACTGGGTCAAGGTTGTCCTACCCTTCAGTGAGCAGACCATCCTTGTCAAGCACAAATCCCATACTACACACCCAAGGACCATGATTTTATGGATTTTAGAAAACTAATACTGAACATAAACCTTATAACTCTTTCAGAGGGGTTTGAGGCAACAACCTGAAATCAAACATTCTAATGTTTCTCAGCAAAACAGAGGGAAAAAAGCCTCCTGTCAGTTCGGTTCAAGTTTACCACCAAGAGTTTTGACACTAAATAAGGGCGGGGCGGGGGGGGGGGGGACAGAAGCCTTTTTTTATTAATTTATCTTAGCCCTCATTTTTGTTCTCTAGTTACAGCGTAAGCCTAATACCTTTTTCAAACATCTGAAGAAAACAACCATGCCTCTATTCCCTAAACCACCTTTTCTTCAGATGACCCATCTATAGTCCAACAGGAATGAGGATGGAATTATGACAGTCCCTACCTCAGGTTGATAAGTGTTAGCACTATGGGACTTTCCCAATGGCTATATAGGCCAGAAAGTGATATAAATGTCCACTGAGACAAGGCAGTGTTGTTTTCCTTCCTCTTTCCTGCTTCCAAGAATACCTGGAACACAAACTCTTTCCTTTCCTCAAGGAATGACAATGTTAACAGTGAGCCTCAAAAACTTAAGTCAGTCCTTAACAATCCCTTCCTAACAAGACACTTTAACTCCCAAAGACCTCCTCTGTCTCCATTTCATTTCACTTCCTTTCTGAACATCATTTTTAATTCATTTATGGTACATACAGTTACAGTAGTGAAAGTGAAAGTCGCTCAGTCGTGTCCAACTCTTCTGCGACCCCACAGACTATACAGTCCATGGAATTCTGTAGGCCAGAATATTACAGTGGGTAGCCTTTCCCACAGTTACGGTAGAGTGGAATGCGTATATAAATTTAAATTACTAGTTTTCTGGACACATTTTTGTAATTCAGAATTTTTGGAAATGAGGACATGATCTCTTGTTCATTGATCTTGATATTTTTCGACTAAAAGAGTGACTCAAATTTCCTCATATAACTTACAACTCTAAAGTCAAAAATACAAAAGGTTTCCATTTTTGAAACCAGCTTCAACAAGATCATATAAAGCAAAGCGTCAACCAAATAATTTAAAGATAAATCAGACTAGACAATGGAGATCGGCACTCCTCTGAGAGATGCTTGATATGGTAGGAATATCCTTCATACCTCAAAAGTCAATGGGGAAAAACAAAACTGACAAACAAGAATTACACAGAAAGCAGAAGTTACGGCTGAACACAAATTTATATAAATTTATCTTTGTTCGAATTCTGATTCTTCAAAGAGCATCAGTCGTTTCAATCTGGTTTAAGCCATGCTTAAGTAGAACACATACAAAATGATTGTTTACAGCGTTTTTGACAGAAGAGCAGAAAATTCTGTGTTGTTTCACCACATCTGCTAATTTTATTCTGATGCAAAACCTAACTGCCTGTCATTTAATGAATAAAGTAATTTCCAAGTGCCCTGCCCTGCCCTTTTTATATGAGTTCTGATACTGTCTTCTTCTCCGTACATGCTCCGTTCCTGGCTTTTGGCTTACATGGAGACTGTGAGCTGTTAGCCAGGGCAGCCAGTCTCAGAGTCCTCACTCCAGTGTGCATCTCGTTTCTCCGCCACAAGCTTGATGAACTGAGCGTGACTAGCATAAAGCTTGAGTTTATCGCTGATGTCCATCCATTTCACCTTTCCAGCATCATCTCCAGCTTCTAAGGTAAGGTTATCCATTATTTCACCTGGTTACCAAAGAAAAAACATCATCAAGAAAATGCAATTTATTTAGTCACTTCTGTTTCTGCATAATCCTGTACCTTCAAGTATTCTTACTCAAAATAATCTTAAATCATCATTATATTAAGTGGCAGACTGAATTAAAAATGAGAATATTCCAAATTTCCCAAATGCCCAAATTTTAACCAAGTTTCTAAATTTCAAGTAAAGGTACCAATAAGAAAGCTTTTCTCAGACTTGCCTAGAGGTCCAGTGGTGAAGAATCTGCACTTCCAATGCAGAAGGTGTGGGCTCAGTCCCTGGTCAGGGAACTAGGATCCCACATGCCACAGGGTGCAGCCAAAAAAAAACCAAAGCTTTTCTCTCTCTCTTACTCTTTCTCAGTTCAGCTCAATCACTCAGTCATGTTCAACTCTTTATGACCCCATGGAATGCAGCATGCCAGGCTTCCCTGTCCTTCACCATGTCCCAGAGCTTGCTCAAACTCATGTCCATTGAATCAGCAACTCCATCCAACCATCTTGTCCTCTTTCGTCCCCTTCTCCTCCTGCCTTCAATCTTTCCCAGCATCAGGGTCTTTTCCAATGAGTCAGTTCTTTGCATCAAGTGGCCAAAGTATTGGAGCTTCAGCTTCAGCATCAGTCCTTCCAGTGAATATTCAGGGCTGATCTCCTTTAGGATTTTGACTGGTTGGATCTCCTTGCAGTCCCAGGGACTCTCAAGAGTCTTTTCCAATACCACTCTTATCTATTTAGTTATGTATTTATGGCTACAGTCCATGTATTTATGCTGCAGTCCATGCGGTCGCTAGGAGTCAGACACGACTGAGTGGCTGAACAACAATTTATGGCTGCACTTAGGTCTTCGTTGCTCTGAGCTGGCTTTCTCTAGCTGCGACAAGCGGGGGCTACTCTTCGTCACTGAGCATGGGCTTCTCATTGAGGTGGCTGTTCTTGTTGCGGCATGTGGGCTTAGCTGCTCCCCAGCATGTGGGATCTTCCCAGACCAGGGACTGAACCCATGTCCCCTATATTGACAGGCAGATTCTTAACCACCGGACGACCAGGGAAGTCCAGCTTTTCACTTTAAAAAGTAAAAATATTACTCTTTAAAAAAAAAAAAAGAGTTAACATTAAATAAACATGAAACCTCACGTGAAAATTCCAGAGATTAAACATTAAAAAAAGAAAGAAAACAATTATAAATGATTCACTTTAGAGTCATAAGGTGGGTACACTTTTCCAAGTATTACACCAAATCAGAAACCATATAAATATTTATTAAAATATTTATAATTATCAAAAATTAAAAATAAATGTTTTCAATCACAACTAGCGATCTAAACGGCACATTTCTGTAGGACAGCTTGGCAGTATTTCTCAAGAGCTTTTAATAAGCAAGTGGGCTCCCCTGGTGGCTCAGACAGTAAAGCGTCTGCCTACAATGCGGGAGACCTGGGTTCAATCCCTGGGTCAGGAAGATCTCCTGGAGAAGGAAATGGCAACCCACTCCAGTATTCTTGCCTGGAAAATCCCATCGGTGGAGGAGCCCTGGTAGGCTACAGTCCATGGGGTCTCAAAGGATCGGACACGACTGAGCGACTTCACTTTCATACAACAAATGCCAGATTGCCTCTTATGCACCAGACTCTGTAAGACGCACTAGGGAGACCATAAACAACCGAATAATTTCACTTCAAAGGATTACCCTAAGGAAATGAAAAGACAAGCTTATTGAAGTATTCAAGACAACACTATTTATAAACAAAGAGGAAAAAGAGGACATAACCAAACTTTCCATTGAGAGGGCACAGATTAAGTAAATGATAAGCGTCCACTGGACTCCCATATGGTCATTAAAAATGAAGCAGCTCTCCACATACTGACATGGAAATATGTCCATAATATATTAATATATTAAGTGAAATTGTAGGTAACAAAAAAGAATGTAGAGTGTTAGCACATTTTTATTTTAAAAACATCCATACAAAATCTGGAAGAAAATAAATCAAAATGTTAATAGTCATTATCTTTGGGAAATGAAATAATTGCTGCTTTAAAATTGTTTCCACTTTATGTCACCTGTTTTCTAAATAACTCATTATAAACACACATATCCTTTATAATGATTACATTCGTAATAATAAAATAATGCTGCTTCTTAAAAGAATCAATCGAATAGTTTAGCACATGAAAGAGAAAGTGTTAGTCACTCACTCTTTGTGACTCCATGGACTGTAGCCTGCCAGGCTCCTCTGTCCATGGGATTTCCCAGGCAAGAATACTGGAGTGGGCTGCCAGTTCCTTCTCCAGGGGATCTTCCCCACCCAGAGATCAAACCCAGGTTTCCTGCATTGCAGGAGAATTCTTTACTGTCTCAGCCACCAGGGAAACCTATTTCAGCACAAAGGTTTCTAAATCCCAGTGCTAAAATGACAGCTCTTTGTGTACCTCCATGGCAAATACAATAAACAATAACCAATGGAGAACCAAAATTAAGAAGTAAATCTGAATCTAAAAGCTAAATTAAAATATGATCATTTAAATAACAATGTTCTCCAACATGCTCTTTATCAGACTCAATAACGTCTGAAAGCATCCTGTCCTCTGGTCAACTAATAAACTACACAAAGGGAAACTTTAAAAACTTTACATGTCTGACATTTAAAGAGCTTGCAAATCATCACTCCCATCTTCACACCAAAAAAATACAAACAAACTGAAAATCAACAACTCTTCTTGGATCTGCACAGGAGCCTGCTATGACCCCCTTTGCTTGGCAAAGGAATAAAGCTATACTTTTCTACTTCACCCAAAACTCTGTCTCCAAGATTCGATCTGGCACCAGCTCAGAGAAGCTGAACTTTTAGCATCACTCCCAACTTACCACTACAGCAATAGAGTCCATAAAATAACGAGAGCATTAACTGAAAGAACTGCATGGCTCAGACCTTATTTAAGTAGTCTCTGCTGCTGCTATTAAGTCACTTCAGTCGTGTCCGACTCTGTGCGACCCCATAGATGGCAGCCCACCAGGCTCCGCCATCCCTGGGATTCTCCAGGCAAGAACACTGGACTGGGTTGCCATTTCCTTCTCCGATGTATGAAAGTGAAAAGTGAAAGTGAAGTCGCTCAGTTGTGTCCGACTCTTCGCCACCCCATGGACTGCAGCCCACCAGGCTCCTCTGCCCATGGGATTTTCCAGGCAAGAGTACTGGAGTGGGGTGCCATTGCCTTCTCCCTAAGTAGTCTCTAGGGACATCAAAAAATGAAAGGAGGCGAAAACAAAAACACTGGGAGGAAATTGTGGTCTCTGACACCTACAATTATAGCAAATAATAAGTATAGCAAATAATAAGAAGCTAACTTCTAGCTATGTTTAGACAAACATAAAACCTCACACTAGAGGTCTATTTGCCTCAGTCCCTTTTACTAGATACATCATGTTCACCTTCCAAAAAAACTAGAAGGCATGCTAAAAGGCAAAGACCACAGTCTGAGGAGACAAAGGATCAGAATCAGACCAGATATGGCAGAGATTTGAAATTATCAGACTGCAAAATTTTTTTTAAGTTTAGATAAAGAATGAAACAGTGAAAACAGTGATTTGAACAACTCAGACACTATATAATCAACCACTAGAGGATCAGTCATTGTTTTTTAACTTCAAAAATAAATAGCTAACAAATGTATCATTACTTAAGTTGCAGAGACCTGCTTCTAAATTGCATATGCATTATTTTTCCCTCTGAAATATTTAAGTTCTTAATACCAAAATGAATTGTTCTAATACTTTGGCTAGAGTTGTTGTAGAGAAGTAATGAAATTTGTGCTGGGAGTTCCCCCAAGTTCAGCAAGAATGTAAAAGTGACAAATCTTCTAGTTGCAGCCCATCTTTTAAGGAAAAAACTGAGTCCAAGAGAACATGTGATTTGCACAAGGTTATACTGAGACAGGAACAGGGTAAGGCACAACCTTTAAACGAATGATACAGCCATTGAGGACACAATATAAGCTCGTTAAACCCAACTAGGTACAAGATGGCAGACTAGATCTTGAGCCTCATTATATGTTCATTATAATACATCAGCATATCCCAAATGACACACCCACAGGAGTCAGGACAGTTCTGAGGCTAACCATAAAAGGTCAAAAAGTGAGTGTAAGCCAATCCCTGGAAATCCCCTCGCCCTTTCCCAAAATAGCTGGAATAATTCTCCCACTCATTAGCCTATGAAATTATCTAGCCCATAAAAACCAAACACCCCATATTTCAGAGTCTCTTGCTTTCTGAGACAGCCCACACTCTGTCTTTGGAGTGTGCACCTCCCTGAATAAATCTATGTTCACTCTGCTTCAGCTCGCTCTTGAATTCCTTCCTGCATGAAGCCAAGGACTCTCACTTGGCAGTCCATCCCAAGGACTTGCCTGACACCTTAGACATGACCAGTCTCTCTCCCCCCATTTTTCCATCAACAATACAGCTCAGAAAGGAACCATGAATGGAACAATTAGTTCTCTGATATGGTACCACTTCATTATGCTACAGATGAAAACAAAGTATCTAAAAGGTCATCCAATTTAGCAGTAAAATGTTTCAAGAGAAGCCACTCCATATATATTAAAATTGTAATTAATTTTCTAAATAGCAGATTCCCCCTTTCTTTTTATAATAAAAGATTTCCACCCACCTGCTAAATTTTTTAAATCCATTGACCAGAAAAAAATCATCCATTTGAAGTTTGCTCAATAGTTGCAATTTTTTGGTATTATTTTGCATTTTAAGACTACATGATTATTATAAAATTATTTCAAACTTTAAGACAGACATAAATCCCATTTCCTTTATTATACCCATACTTCCTACCAAAATCTCGAGTTGTTTTTGCTTTTGTTTTATACAAATGGACTCAAACAATTTGACAACTTTAAGGCACATGATTAGTTTATAATTTTAACCTTAATTTTATATGCTACCAATGGATTAAAGGAGATTCATTACTGGTAACACTTTTAAAGCTTTCTTCTACATATTCTTTCATTTTTTTAACATATTATTTTAATATCAACAATCTGATTTCATACAAATATACTTCTATAATCACTAGATGATTGACTTAAAATACTGAAATAGTCCAGATTTAATTGTGTCCTAGTAGGCTGCTTGACAAATTGATCCACTAATTCAGTTAGTTTAATAAACATTAGTAAAATTACCTGTTTCATCATGGTAATTCACAGCTTCTGTCTCCATCCATGCATTATCAGTGTTTCGAGGATCATCAACATAACCTTTATATATCTATTTTTTAAAAGGAGACAGATGAAAAAAAAGTTTAGGGTGAAAAGGAAATGGTCACAGAGCATGCTGCCTTCTTCAGAATCAGAAATATCCATTGCAAAACAATGCACATTTAATTAACATTAATTAATTGTACACTTAAAAAATGGTTAAGTGGGCATATTATATGCTATGTGCTTTTTATCACACACACACACAAAAGAAATGTAAATATTACAGAACCTTTAATGTAACATTCCATATGCTTGTTCTAAATGTCCCAGGGAGGGAATTCCCTGGTGGTCCAGTGGTTAGGACTTGGTGCCTTCACCAGGGCCCAGGTTCAACCCCTAGTCGGGGAACTAAGATTCCTCAAAAAGAAAAAGTGGTCAAAAAAAGTCAATGTGAAAATGAAATTAAGAAAGTAAAGTGATTCCATTTATAATAGGATCAAATGAACAAAATATTTTTTTAAATACATAAATTTCCCAGGAAACAATATTCTCAATAACATTCTGAGGTAGCTCTAACATTCACAAAACCCTCAGCACCTCAGATTCTAATTTCAGAATGTGAAAATAATCATATTTGGGCTTTAAGACTCTTCATGTAAATATTTTTCTGTTTTAATAATTTCTGCGGGGGGTGTGAGAGGGAGACTCAAGGAGGGGATATATGTATACGTAGAGCTGATTCATGCCGCTGGACAGCAGAAACTGGCGCTGTAAAACAATTATGCGCCAATTTAAAAATAATTCCCATGATTACAGTTTTAGACATACAAAGATAGATTCTTCTAGTTAAACAAAGATCTATAAACAAGGTTAGTAAAGACTAATATTTAAGCTCTTGATACATGAAAAGACTTGGATCCAGCCATCTAACATAAATATGACCCAAAATCCAGACAATATAAACAATTAAGAAATCCTAATTCTAGGAAGAAAACAAAGCCCATCAAACAAAAGCCAACAGCAACAAAAAATAAAATCCATTATTCTTATTACTAGTGCACATATACCTTATAGTGATTTTTTTAAATCACAAAGGATACATAAGCAAAACAGACATGAGACTTAAACTGTTATGAATGAGAAAAGCTCTGCATAACATAAGTTAAAATATAAATGTCCTTTCAAAACAGCTGAATTCTTGCAAATTTTTTAAAACCAGAAAAGATTTACTGTTAGATAGGTGAACTCAGTATCACATTAGCTCACACTGAGTCTAATGAAAAACCCTGAGAAAAAAACATATTATAATAAATGATGTAAAGTTGGGCTATAAAAATTTAAGTAGGAATCTATTCACAGAGAAGAGCTACAATTTAATTTAATTTCACTTTATTCAGAGAATATTCTAAATATTCTGAATATTCTCTGAATATTCAGAGATTTCCAGGTGAGCTTTAAGTAATTTTCATTAATCCCCAGGACTACACCCTTCTTAGAAATCATTTCTTACCACCAGATGTTCCTGGCTGAAGAGCCTGTGCAGCTTGTCCTGCAGCTCCCTCTTCTCAGCACTGGATTTCTGTAAGGAGTTGAGCGCTTCCTCACCAAACTCTCTTTTCAGCGTGGCGCTAATCTTCTCTCCTGGATCCACCATCCCCTGAGAGTCACATTTTTGTTTAAAAAAAAAAAGGAAAAAGCTTTAATTCAACCAATAAGTATTTACTGACTGATCCAGTGGACACATACTGCTCTGTGGTGGTGTCGGTTTAGGCGCTCAGTCATGTCTGACTCTTGCAACCCAATGTTTTGCAGCCCGCCAGGCTCCTCTGTCCATGGGATTTCCCAGGCAAGAAAGAATACCAGAGTGGGCTGCCATTTCCTTCTCCAGGGATATGTTGCTCTATCTGCCCATAATCTTCTGTAATATGTTCTTCTCTAAATCATTTGTTTCTAGTAGAAGCAGCTTAGTAGGGTATCAACCATATATATACTCAACCACAGTAAATGGTCCAAGGTTATAGCCTATGATAACTGAGCCTGTCAGACTCCGTTCCTGGTATTTTCCAAAGTCAAGCTACAGAAGGAAGGGCTGGAGGCAAGAAAGAATACAACAAACTAGTACTTTCCCCACTGGTCATTCCATTACAGTCACAGTGACCTCCTCAACGTTCCTAGGATGTGCCAGGCATATCCCAACCTTTAGGCCTTTGCAACTGCTATTACTTCTACCTAAAGACGCTTTCCCCAGATATCCACATGGGTCACTTGTTCACCTCCTCCAGATCTTCACTTAGATGTCACCTTCTCTCAAGAGATCTTCTATAACCACCCTCTATCTAAAACTGCAAGCTCTCCCAACACTTCCTAGTCCCCTTCCTTGCTTTAGTTTTCTTAGTACTTATCACCTTCGAACATACAATAACATTTATCTTGTATGGTCTCCCTCATTGGAGTGTGAGCACCAAGAAGAGAGGGATGCTTGTTCATATAGCTCTGCTGTATCCTCAATTTCTAAAATATTAGTTGACAAAAGGTGCATGATCAAAATACACTGAGATAAACGACTCTCAAAATTATATTCAATGACAACAGTTCCCTGACTGATCAGAATTTCAAATGACAATAAAAATGGAAGATCCTATGATGATGATATCATTCTATTTTACATTCAGCATGAGTAAAGTTTACTTGGCTCATAATAATTAGCCTAAGCTTTTATTACAGTCAGTTACAACCTTCATTTTCTTTCCATTTTACCCTACAAAGAAAGAAACCATTCTTGCAGATAGCAGAATGTGTATATGACGAGTCATACTCTTATCAAACTATCTCCATTTCACAATATGGCATAAAACATAAAACCCGCTCTTGAACACATACACATTTTTTTAAAGTCACCTGAAATACTACTGATGTGAACTCAATAAAAGTATACTCTTCCTGATGATATTATACAAACTTAAAAAACTATAAGGAACAGTAAGTGATGTGTTATCTTTTTTTTAAATACTGAAAATGTTACCTTGGTCTTAGAGTAGGGGATGGGTTCAAAGACAAGACTCAGCATTATTGAGTATCTACAATGCCAGGTGCTTTACATGCACTCTCTAATAATCCTATGAAATAGATATAATTATTTTTAGAACAAAGGTCTGAACTCCACAACACTCAGCTCCAACTGGAAAGGCTAAAACACAAGCCCAGGTCTAACATCAAAGTCCATGTTCTCTCTCAAGGGTTTTAGAATTAAGACTCAGATTCTAACAGCTCTGTTGTATTATTCTATGTTTGTCATTAACAATGATACTTCACTGCAAAGGAATTACCAGCTGAAGTAGGGAGGAAAGAGACTAATGGGAGGAGAAAAGATCCATATGCAGTAGCCTTGCGTTATATAAGTAAAGCAACTAAAAAGAACTTAAAACATTGATCTGACTTTATTTTAATGCTTACCCCTGGGATTGCCCATTCTCCACAGTCTTTCCTTTTTATTGCAACAAACTGTAAGATGTTTTTCCCAGAAATGGGATGGGTGATTTTATTTCCACTTCTATCCCTTTTCCACCTATAAACAGTAATGTAAGATCATAAGTGATTCAGAACAAAGATCAAGGGCCTATATCAAGCTTAAGACAAAAATATAAAGATGTATTTTTCTTTATAACAGTGTATAAGTTTACCCCAAACCAGCTAGTTTTATAAAGAATATTGTTTTGCATTAAAAATATTATTTAGCACTGTTACAAACCAAGACAAATGTCTACTTTCCATAAAGTATATTATAGTCTCCATAATAAAAATTTGAGATATAGTTTTTACTAAAGTAAAATTTATCAAAAAGATTTTAAAGCAGAACAGAATTTAAAGGAAGGGTCATTGAGAGTTCTTATTTTTTTATTCAAGGATCCTTTTTAAGAATTATTAATATAAGTAGTAAAAAAGATCTGCAATAATTACTTTTAACAGTTCACCCTGTTTTCAGAAAAGATTATGTGATACAGGTTCAGTTGGTCTCAAAAAAAAAAAGCTTCTCAATCTTTATCCCCTTTTTGGATAAAAGAAATCTCACTTTATCCTTTAATTTTATATTTCAAATTGCATATTTTTAAAACATCAAGGTAACGTTAATTTCAAAATGTGCTTTTTGTAATCAGAGCCTCCTTCCCAAAGATGTTGATAAATCTCCTTTTCCCCTCCCCTACATCACATCTACCTTCCCTGGCAAATGTTAAGATTAGTTCTAATAGTCCCTTAGGCAAAGATAAAGATTTTGAACTTGCAGTACAAAACCAAAACAGAAAGTCTAAAATCTAATCTTCACTCTGCATGAGACTAAAATATACCAGCTTAGATATGAGTGTCCAAGTTTCTTTATAATGTGGCTGAACACATCTAACCAGTGAAAGCGAAAGTCACTCAGTCACGTCCAACTCTTTATGACCCCAGGGACTGTTATAGTAGTCCATGGAATTCTCCAGGCCAGAATACTGCAGTGGGTAGCCTTTCCCTTCTCCAGGGGATCTTCCCAACCCAGGGATCAAACCCAGATCTCCCGCATTACAAGTGGATTCTTTACCAGCTGAGCCACAAGGGAAGCCCAAGAATACTGGAGTGGGCAGCCTACCCCTTCTCCAGGGGATCTTCCCGACTCAGGAATCGAACCCAGGTCTCCCACATTGCAGGCGGATTCTTCACCAACTGAGCTATCAGGGAAGCCCCATCTAACCCGTAATTCCCCCTAAAAGAGTTCACAGCCTAGGAGTGGAGCTATACATGTAGGTGAATAAACTGTAAGACTGACAGCTTGATGAGTACAGCTAGCTAGAAATGAAAGAACAATTAGTATAAGACAAATCTGATTTTAAGGATGCAGAGGGAGGAAACAAAGATATAAAAATAAAATAATGTATTCAAGAAACTGAATGTATACACAGCAGTATGAACATCAGTGAGGGAAAGATGGATAATGAGGTACAGCTAGCTAGAAATGAAAGAACAATTAGTATAAGACAAATCTGATTTTAAGGATGTAGAGGGAGGAAACAAAGATATAAAAATAAAATAATGTATTCAAGAAACTGAATGTATACACAGCAGTATGAACATCAGTGAGGGAAAGATGGATAATGAGGTTGAAGAAGTAGGCAAAGAATTCCTCAAATTTACCTGCTTAGAGAGCCAGAGAATGTTTTAAAGCAGGTTAAAAGCTGTTAGCAATCTGTATTTTAGAAAACTCACTCACTTTGACAAAAGTTTGGAAGTTAGTTTGGAGGTGATCAAGACCCAAAAGCAAGAAAAGCCAGCTCAGTTCAGTTCAGTTCACTCGCTCAGTCGTGTCCGACTCTTTGCGACCCCATGAACCACAGCACGCCAGGCCTCCCTGTCCATCACCAACTCCCAGAGTCTACCCAAACTCATGTCCATTGAGTTGGTGATGCCATCCAACCATCTTATCCTCTGTCGTCCCCTTCTCCTCCTGCCCTCAATCCTTCCCAGCATCAGGGTCTTTTCAAATGAGTCTGTTCTTCATATCAGGTGGCCAAAGTACTGGAGTTTCAGCTTCAACATCAGTCCTCTCAATGAACACCCAGGACTCATCTCCTTTAGGATGTCCTGGTTGGATCTCCTTGCAGTCCAAGGGACTCTCAAGAGTCTTCTCCAATACCACAGTTCAAAAGCATTAATTCTTCGGCACTCAGCTTTCTTTATAGTCTAACTGTCACAGTCACACATGACCACTGGAAAAACCACAGCTTTGACTAGACGAACCTTTGTTGGCAAAGTAATGTCTTTGCTTTTTAATATGCTGTTCAGGTTTATCATAGCTTTTCTTGCAAGAAGCAAGCATCTTTTAATTTCAAAGTTGCATACATATGCCTGTGTATATACCGACAGAAACACACACACATGCAGCCGGCTCTCTGTATCCACAAATGCAGAACCCATGGATAAGACGGGTCAACCGTACTGTTCCATTTTATGTAAGAGACCTGAACATCCACAGATTTTGCTACCTGCTTGAGGCACAGGGGCCTCTTCAAAAGCCAAGCCCCTAAAATACCAGGGGATAACTAGATATATAAACACATACATATGCATACATATATTTGCATATGTATATGCATATGATGGACATGTAAAAATATGGTTAGTGTCTGTATTTTTCCAATTACTTGTCTCTTTGTTACTGAAATGTGTTTTTAGCTCTTACCTGGTTATGATGGGATCTGCAGCATGATTGGGGCCCCATCGCCCCAAAAGCCCCCGGCCAACCAGTCCAGTCCGTCCTGCAGGATTTCTGGAAAAACAAAAAACCATAAAACCAACTGAATGTACTCATCTTTTTGAACCAAACTTGATATGGCCCAAAACAAGGTACCAAGAGGGAAATACGATCTCCACACAAATCCAGTAGCTCTGCTACATATTTGACACTCAAGGTACATATTTCTTTACAGTGTTGTTTAACTTTTCTTCACGCCTGGGCTTGATCCAGGAGGAGGATCTCATTTGCAAAGCTGTTTTAAATCTGGAAGGCTGAAATGCTCTGCACCTAATCACCGTCTAACTCTGCAACAGCGACACTTTATCCAGTATTTTCACACTTCTCTTCCCTTTCTCATCATCCTCTTTTATACTCCACTCTCTTATGACCGGTCTCACTCACATGGTTTTGATTACATTTTAAAGTCCATTTTTTTCACAGTGGGTTCTAGATTTTTATTGTCAGTAATAGATACTGTGTAGCATATGAGGGTTTCCCAGGAGGTGCCAGCGGTAAAGAACCCGCCTGCTAATGAAGGCAGACATAAGAGACACAGGTTCCACCCCTGGGTCGGGAAGATCCCCTAGAGAAGGGCATGGCAACCCAACTCTAGTATACTTGTCTGGAGACTCCCATGGACAGAGGAGCCTGGCGGGCTAGAGTCCATAAAGGCTGCAGAGTTGGACAAGACTAAAGCAACGGAGCCCACAGCACACAGCATATAACGAAGTAAAAAAACTTAGTGTTTCAAGATTTCAAATATACCAAATTCAAATTTTAAAAACAATTTTATAAAAATGCCAACAACTATTTAACCTAATGCCACAACCCAATATTTAAAAGTCTATCTGCCTTTCTAACAGGTGGTAGGGATGCTGGAGGTCTGTGGGCCTCCTGAGCAATGAGGGCACACGACCTCTGAGCAGAGGCTGGAGGAGAACCCTACGTGAGAGGGAAAGGACTCAGGCAGCATGAAGGGGTGGGGCTTGCGGCCCAGGCTGGGGGATGTGGCTGTGCTGGGCGGCCAGGGCCCACATGCCTTTCTTTGCTGACATCTTTTATGTTTCTGAACAGTGGGGCCTGTTTTCTTGTCTAGGAGATGACTCAGATATAGTTCACACAAAGCCCTGAGAGGGCTGTGACATCCCAGAGTCAACCGCAGTAGCCGGTCTCAGGCTAAGTGGGCCAAGTCATCGCAGGATAGATTCCCGGGAAATTCATCACTTCCCGAGCCCAGGGGTCCCCGCGGGAGGGTGGGGGGAGGGCGGGCATGGGTACATTCAGGATCATAAGACTCATCATGAGACAAATAAAAGATGAAGTGAACAAGAAGTAGAAGGACAAAGAAGCAGGGAAGGGAGGAGACCTGTCTCTTTAGCAGAGAGATGTCAACTCTTCAGGACAAAGATTCTGGGAGTTGCTGCGTGGTCTCAGGGAGGTCAAGCACCATCTCTGGGTTTCAGTTTCCCTCTTTGTAAAGGGAGAGCCTGGAGAGGTGAGCTTCAAGGACTTTTTGAGGCAAGGCAGAGAGGGAAATCCAGGGTGGCGTGGAGGTGCCAGCTGGCAGGGCCTCCGGGCTGTGTGACCTGCTGGCTGCCGACCTGCCCCGAATCAGGGTCGTGAGGCAAATGTGTCCAATGCACTGGATGAAGGCTCAAGTTCCTGGAAAGAACTGAGAGGGTGGGGGAAAGGGACATTCATCCATCCGTTCTCATTGCCTGGCTCTGAGTCAGGTACTTTCCTCACTTCATCATGAGGCCTCACAACAAGAATGTTCTTAATGTCAATTTATAGTGGAGGGGGCTGAGGATCAGAGAGGGTGAGAGGCTTGCCCAGGTCACACAGAGGGTGAGTTGACTGCTGAGATGCCGTGTGTCCAGACCTGCCTAAACCTGTCACTATTATTACAGTTGTTATTATTACCATCTGTTGAGAACCTAGGGATTGTATTAGCATTATTAATTTCAGAGTGGAAATTAATAATGTCTATTTGGAGGAGAATAGATACATGTATGGCCAGGGCTTCCTAGCCCCAGGTGGCTCAGTGGTTAAGAATCTGCCAGCCAGTGCAGGAGATGCAAGAGATGCATGTTCCATCCCTGGGTTGGAAAAGTCCCCTGGATGAGGAAATGGCAACCCACGCCAGAAAAAAAAAAAAAAAAAGTCTATCAGATAAACAGGGCACACTCACACCTGAGTGATTTTCTTCCAGTCAATATTCCTTACATGTTTAACTTTCATTATGTAAAATGAAATGCCCCAATCTGCAATCTTATCTATTTAATATCTTTGGCCCTCCCAGTATGTGAAAGTAAATAAACAACTTGTCAGGTTTTCCCTTTCAGCTTTTGTTTTTAAACTGTTTTTTTATTTATGGTTGCACTGGGTCTTTGTTGCCCAAGGGCTTTCTCCAGGTGCTGCAAGCAGGGGCCCCTCTCCTCTGCGGCGCTCGGGCTTCTCTTATGGGGGAGCACGGGCTCCAGGTGCCGGAGCTCCAGTGGCTGCAACGCGGGGGCTCAGAGGTTGTGGGTCACAGGCTGAGCTGCTCCACAGCGTCTGGGGTCTTCCCGGACCAGGGATCGAACTCATGCTCCCTGCACTGGCAGGTGGGCTCTCAACCACTACACCCCCGGAAGTCCCAGCCACTCCTTTTTATTTTGCTCTTCATTGCGACTGTTATGAAAATTGAGTCAATCTTTATATTGTTTTATGCTGGACTCAGAAATATTTCAGCAAGACTTGCAAATAAAAACAGAAAGGCAAGACACTTAGCCAGGTTGCAAGTATTCTACTTTTCAAATTCAGCAGGAGGGGCAGGGTGGTCAGTAACTATGTTTTATTCCATGTAACCATACACCTTTGAATACAAATGATCAAAGCCAATATTAAGAAAGAGAATGTTATGTTTTTATAGATGACCAAGCCTGTAACTGATAAACTAAGCTGCAGAAAAGACATATAGATTACCCTACTGCCTGAGCAACAGAGAAAGTTATTTGCAGAAAAAGCAAAACAAAGGCAACATATAAAGGAAAGCAGACGTAAGGCAGAAAGACAGTTCTAATGGATTTCCAAACTCTACCCCTTTCCTAAAGTTAGCTGCATTTCTGCTTTGGATTCCTGAGATGATTCTATAGGCCTGGGGTAAAGTTCACTTTTTTACTCAGGCAAGCTAGAGTTGGTTTCCATTAGTCAGAGTCTTGACTAAAACAATAGGCTATCTATCCTTTGCCTTTTCTGTCCTTTTATATGTGTATATATCTTCTAATATATTTTGCCAAGAAGAAAACTTAAGGAGTAAGTCAATGAAAGGCAAGTTTGACTTGAAAAGACTCAATAACACAGAAAAGTGAGTAAGCTATGAACAAAGAAAGAATTTAGCAAAACTGAAAGACCAGGTTGATGTGAGAGGAGCACTACTATTTCCTTGCTTTAGAAGAACTAAAAATATTTTTAGCTTTTGCAACATTTCTACAAGGTGATAAGTGTGATTACCAAATCTGTGATTTTTCTACTGGTTTATTGGAGGCAAGCTAACTTTTACATTTCTTCCTTTTATGATGACTTAAGAAAAACTGAAAATTTTTGAGTTGTGTAGAAAAATCACTTTTCAAAGTACAAAAAGAGGGATTTCCTGGTGATCCAGTGGTTAAGACTCCATGCTTCCACTGGGCACAGGTTTGATCCCTAGTTGGTGAACTAAGATTCCCGCATCCCACCCACTTGCCACGACATGACCAAGAGAAAAAAGCAATATTAAATTGTTAGGTTGTTTTTATTTTTACTCTTACATATTTGGATAAATTCTTAACAGTATTACCTCATTTTATACATAATCACTGAAATACAATTCTCAATCCTTTCCTTCTGTTAATTTATTCAATTACAGTTGACCCTTGAACAATGCTTCCATATAAACTTATAGTCCACCATCTGTACCCACAGTTCCCCTGTATCTGTGGTTCCACATTCAGGTATTCAATCAAACTCAGATGGAATAGTGCTGTAATATTTACTACTGAAAAAGAATCCATGTATAAGTGGGCCTGTGTAGTTTAAGCCCCATTTTGTTCAAGAGTCAACTGTTATTATTTCTATTTCAAGGTAAAGTTATAAGAAGATGCATTCAATTCCTTCCAGCACTTACTCACCATATGCAAACTACTTGCATTTTCTCTACTCATCTATAAACAGAACTAAAAATATCCACCCACAGGGTTGTTATTATGATTTAATTAGATCACATATATAAATTCTTTCAGACAAGGTCTGGCATATACAAGCCCTCAGTAAATGTTAATTAGATTGATAAAATAAAATGTGTATTTTAAGGCAGGGCAAAAAAATTTAGACATAAAATTTTCTGGGTCCATCTGGGCCTCTCCAAGCATCCCTAATGTGCGTGTATCTGCACATTAATCAGACCTCCTCAAAGAGTGCTTTCTTGACCACAAAGATTATTATTTTCCCTTTCTTCTGACACTAGTAATGTAACTTCTTAAAAGAACAGCATGCTTTCACAACTCTGCAAGGGGTCATGGTGACTCACTGCTTGCTCTGTACATGCTTACCTGGACTAGGTATTTTTGGGGAACCTTATGTAAAATATCAGTATCTTACCCCATTTTGATGTACAATCCTTTGTCTAGAAAATGTGTATGACTACACCTTCTAACAGGTCTTCCCTGGTGGCTCAGTGGTAAAGAAGCCACCTGCTAATGAAGGAGATGTGGGTTCGATCCCTGGGTCAAGAGGATCCCCCTTCTTGCTTGGGAAATCCTAAGGACAGAGGAGCTTGGAAGGCTCTGAGGTCACAAAAGAGTTCACCACAACTGAGCAACTAAACAACAACAGTATCTTCTAACAGGTGGAACATTTCTCAGAGCTTCCTGAGAGTCTGTCTTCCAAGCTGTAACTCTTAGTTTGGTTTATATAAAATTTGCTTTTTTCTTCTTACCTTGATTGTTAAGTGAATTTTCATTGACAATTATTTTCTACCTTTTAAAGACCCATTATTGTAAGATGCCCCACCTCAGTACCTACCTAGGTCTTCCGTTTTCAACCTCATACAGGCCATTCTGGCTCTTTCTCTCAACCTGCCCATCCTTTTCATTAAACTTGGGAGAGAAGTTGCTTTCACTGTAACGAGAATACCAATGCAAAATAAGAAATAATGATCCAATACTACCAACAGCTTAATAATGCCAGCCAGTTATTTATAACAACCAGTATCCTTGAAACTAAACTTTTAGTTACAAACTTAGTTTTCATTTACAAACTCATCAACTCCTTCAAAACACTTTCTGGCAAAAATTTTTTGTTTATTAAAAGACCTTATTAGATAAGAAGGTATGTTGTAACCCCTGTGGGGAAGGATTAATAGCAGGCAAACTGGAGCTGCTCCTACATACTACAGAAAAGAACACATTACTATCAGTAAAGCGGATTTGTCTGTGGGCACAATATGGCAATGACTGGCTCCTATCAATAAATACTCCTAAAAATAAGATTCCTTCTGACGTTTTGCTGTTTCTACTGTTTCAAAGTAATTTTAATGTCTTCTAATGTACACTGATTAATATCTGTATCAAAAACCCACAAAAAATGAAAACACCCCACAAACTTCGTAATAACCATGATGCAGATTAAAATAGATATAATAAGCTGGAAATAATAACCGTGATGTAGATTAAAACAGATATAAACTGGAACTACTCCAGATCTTGATCTGGACACGGATCTGGATTAGAGAGTTAGATAAATATAAAATCTAACTGAGCTACACCTGCACACCTAAGAAATATATAGTTTATTGCATTTATGTCACACTCAATAAAAACATTTTTTAAAAGCTATAAACTACTTTCTTCACCATTATGAAACTGCTGACATAATTGCACTGACAGTGAATAAAGAGTTATATAGCACTGGATAGTTCATGGGCAGTTCTGACACAAGTTTCACTTTCTTTCTTGCTTTAATTCCAGTAAGCAAGAGCATAGAAATATTTGTGCTCTGTTTTGTAAATAGTTTCCAACTTGAATGATCCAGGCATTTTCCCAAGACTTCTAACATATCTATAAATTTAAACGGTAAAAGTCACGAAATTACAAAACCAGAGTTACAATGTTTTTGGGACTCTAGAAATTCACCATTAAATGTGGAATCTTAAAAACAAAAAAAAAATGGTACAAATGAACTTATTTACAAAACAAAAATAGAGTCACAGATGTAGAAAATAAACATGGTTACCAAGGTGGGGAGGGGGGATAAACTGGGAGACTGGGACTGACATATACACATTGCTATGTCTAAAACAGAAAACTAATAAGAACTCTCTAATACAGCACAGGGAACTTCATTCAGTACTCTGTAATGACCTAACAGGAACAGAATCTAAAAAACAGTGAATATACATATATATATAACTGATTCAAACCAGTCAATCCTAAAGGAAATCAGTCCTGAATATTCATTGGAAGGACTGATGCTGAAGCTGAAGCTCCAGCTCCAATACTTCAACCACCTGATGAGAAGAACTGACTCATTGGAAAAGACCCTGATGCTGGGAAACATTGAGGGTAGGAGAAGGGGACGACAGAGATGAGTTAGTTGGATGGAATCACCAACTCGATGGACATGAGTTTGAGCAAGCTCTGGGAGTTGGTAATGGACATGGAGGCCTAGTGTGCCGCAATCCACGGGGTAACAAAGAGTTGGACATGACTGAGCACCTGAACTGAACTGATAACTAACACAATACTGTAAATCAACAATACTCCATTAAAATTTTTTAAAATAAAAGAAACTAAATAAACATTGAATGCTAGTTAATGAAATACTTGTTGAAGTATACAGGCAGAGATGTACCAATACATCAAAAATCAAGATGGATGAAGGAGGGATAGATGGATATATATGTGATGAAGTAAGTATAGTAAAATGGTAATAAGAAAATCAAAGTGGTGAGTTATGACTGTCCCTTGTAAAGTTCTTTCAAATTTCCTATATCTTGGAAATGTTTCAGAAAAAAATTTTAGATAAAGAGAGCCATTTTATGGTGGGGAAAAGCATGACTCTAGTTACAATTTAAACATTAACATTAGTAAGGCTTGATTTAGACAGTGATACAAATTTAACTTATAAAAAATAAATTGAATAAAACAGAGGAAGACTCATTCAGTCTTCCTCTACTTATACTGTATAGCACCCCTTGTACGTCACTAATTCTAACTGTGCATGTGTATGTATAATGTACATGTAAATATATATTAATACATCCTCTAAAATGAGGGAAATGGAACTCATTTATAGGTAATAGTTTCTCCACAAGTTGGCTTCATGATTAATTAACAACCCAAATATTATGACAAACACATCTTTGGATTAAATAAGGAAACTGTGGGTCAAAATCAAGTCACAGCAATATGTGACTGGTAAAGTTTAACAATCTAATGAACTAATACTAGATTAACCCAACTAGCAAAAATTTTTATTTAACTGACTAAACAATGCCTTGAGAGGACTATCATTTACAATAAATTTACCAATTAAATCAAACTTATAAAATATTTCAAAACTAGAGTGGCCATTTAGCAGAGTAGTAAAGGGCATAAATTCTAAAGTCATTCTGAGTTAAAGTCCAAGCTATCCCCTCTACTAGCTCCATGACCATATGTAAAGGACAAAGTTTCTGTGCTTCCATTTTTTGTGTTTTTTTTTTCTATAAAGAAGAAATAACAACCCTGTCTGCCTTCCAGAATAGTTATAAGAATGAAACAATGCTTATAAAACATTTAGTACAGTGCCTAGCTTGTAGTCATACATTTTACAAATCTATCATTATATTTCTCAAAAGAAACATAAATATAAAATGTGAATCAACACAGCACTTCTCTGAATTTAGTCAAAGTATTTATTTTAATCGGGGTATACCTGCTTTACAATGTGGTACAACAAAATAAATCAGCCATATGTATACATATACCCACTCCCTCTTGGGCCTCTCTCCCACCCCCTCCCATCCCACCCATCTGCGTCACCACAGAGCTCTGAGCCAACTTCCCTGTGCTGCACAGCAGCTTCCCACTAGCTATGCATTTTACACGTGGTAGTATACATAGGTCAATCCCAACCTCTCAATTCACCCCACTTCCCCTTCCCCACCAGGCCATGTCCACATGTCCATTCTCTACATTTGCGTCTCTATTTCTGCTTTGTAAAATAAAATCACCTATACCATTTTCCTGTATTCCACATACATGCATTAATATGCGATACTTTTTTCTTTCTGACTTACTTCACTCTATGACAGACTCTAGGTCCATCCATATCTCCACAAATGTTACCCAATTTTGTTCATTTTTATGGCTGAGTAATATTTCCCTGCATATATGTACACATCTTCTTTATCCATTAATCTGTAGTTGCACATCTAGGTTGCTTTCATGTCCTGGCTAACATAAATAGTGCTGCAATGAACACTGGGGTGCATGTGTCTTTTTGAATTATGGTCATATGGTAGTCCTTCTCAGTTACTTTCATTTGCAAATATTTTCTCCCATTCTAAGGTGGTTTTTCCATCTCATTTATAGTTTTCTTTTCTGTACAAAAGCTCTTAAGTTTAATTAGGTCCCATTTGTTTATTTTTGTTTTTATTTTCCTTATTCTAGGAAGTGGGTCAAAAAAGATACTGCTGTGGTTTATGTCAAAGAATGTTCTTCTTATGTTTTCTTCTAAGAGTTGTATAGGTGTCTGGTCTTATACTTAGATCTTTACTCCATGTTGAGTTTTCTTTTTATATATGGTATTAGGGAGTGTTCTCATTTCATTTTTTTACATATAGCTGTCCAGTTTTCCCAGTACCATTTGTTGAAAAGACTCTTTTCTCCATTGAATATTCTTGCCTTCTTTGTAATAGACTAGGTGACCATAGGTATGTGGGTTTCTCTTTGGTATTTCAATCCTGTCCCATTGATCTATATTTCTGTTTTTGTGCCAGTACCATACTGTCCTGATGACTGTAGCTTTACAGTATAATCTGAAGTCAAGGAGCCTGATTACTCCAGTTCTGTTTTTCTTTCTCAAGAGTGCTTTGGTATCTGGGGTCTTTTATGGATCCACAAAAACTGTAAAAAGTTTTTTGTTCTAATTCTGTGAAAAAGTCCATTGGTAATCTGATAGGGGGTGTACTGAATCTATAGACTTATATTAGGGAAATTAAAATGGAGGAAGTCTTGTGCAGACATCAGAAGGAGGAGAGCAGGCCTCTGATCTACCTGGATACTACAAAGATTCTGTGCTTGCTAGATTTCACCTATGAAGCCATCTGGTCCTGGACTGTTGTTTGCTGGACAAATTTTAACTGCAGTTTCAACTTCATTACTTGTGATTGGTCTATATTTTCTATTTCTTCCTGCTTCAGTCCTCGGAGACTGTACCTTTCTAAGAATTTGTCCATTTCTTCCAAGTTGTCCACTTTTTTGGCATAGAGTTGCTTATAGTAGTCTCTAATGATTCTTTGTATTTCTGGGGTGTCAGTTGTAATTTCTCTTTTTTCATTTCTAATTTTATTGATTTGAATCTTTTTTTTTTTTTTTGATGAGTCTGGCTAAAAGTTTATTGATTTTATCTTCTCAAAGAACCAGCTTTTAGTTTCACTGATTTTTGCTATTGTTTTCTTCATTTCTATTTCATTTATTTCTGCTCTGCCTATGATTTATTTCCTTCTACTAACTTTGGGTTTTGTTTGTTCTTCTTGGTCTAGCTGCTTTAGGTATAATGTTAGGTTGTTTACTGGAGATTTTTCTCATTTCTTGAGGAAGAACTGAATTGCTATTAGCTTCCCCCTTAGGATTGCTTTTACTGCATCCCATGGTTTTGAGTCATCCTGATTTCTGTCATTTGTTTCTATGTATTTTTTTATTTCCTCTTTGATTTCTTCATTGATCTCTTCATTATTCAGTAGTCTATTATTTAGCCTCCATGTGTTCATGTTTTTAGTTTCTTTTTTCCTGTAATTGATTTCTAATCTCATGGTGTTGTAGTCAGAAAACATGCTTGATACAATTTCAATTTCCTTAAATTTACCAAGGCTTGATTTGTGACCCAAGATATGATCTAACCTGGAGAATATTCCTTGTGCACTTGAGATGAAAGTATATTCTGCTGCTTTCAGATGGAATGTCCTATAAATATCAATTAATTCTATCTGGTCTATTGTGTCATTAAAGCTCGTGTTTTCTTATTTATTTTCTGTCTGGATAATCTGTTCATTGGTGGAAGTGGGGTATTAAAGTCTCCCACTATTATTGCGTTGATGCCATTTTCCCCTTTTAGGGCTGCTAGCATTTGCTTTTTGTATTGAGGTGCTCCTATAATGGGTGCAGAAATATTTATAATTGTTATATCTCCTTTTTGGATTGATCCCTTGATTATTATGTAGCATTCTTGTTTCTTGTAACAGTCTTTATTTTAAAGTCTTATCTGATATGAATACTACTACTCCAGCCTTTTTTTGACTTCCATTTGCATGGAATATCTTTTTGCAACCTCTCATTTTCAGTCTGTGTCTCTGGGTCTGAAGTGGGTCTCCGTTAGATACCATATATACAGGTCTTGCTTTTGTATTCATTCAGCCATTCTACCTCTAATCAAAACGTTTCTGCTTGAGTTTTTTTGTTTCCTTCTTTCCTCTCTCCTTTATCTATCCCTTTCCTATCTTCTCACACAGGTCAACTTTTATCATCATCTTGTTGTTAGTAATCCAGAAAAAGTTTCTGAAAAACATTTTCACTATTCAAATACAAGTCTATCTATGTTGGAAAATAACCACAAAAGATATTATTGATAACCCAAGCAGAAGAAATGAAAACAGAAACTACCACTTGTCATTTCATAGAATAAAAAACTCCGTGATAAAATAGATTTAACTATTTGGAAAGATCATCATCAGTTCAGTTCAGTTCAGTCCCTCAGTCATGTCCGACTCTTTGCAACCCCTCGAACCACAGCACGCCAGGCCACCCTGTCCATCACCAACTCCCGGAGTTCACCCAAACCCATGTCCATCGAGTCGGTGATGCCATCCAACCACCTCATCCTCTGTCGTCCCCTTCTCCTCCTGCCCTCAATCTTTCCCAGCATCCAGATCTTTTCCAATGAGCCAGCTCTTCGCATCAGGTGGCCAAAGTACTAGAGTTTCAGCTTCAACATCAGTCCTTCCAATGAACATCCAGGACTGATCTCCTTTAAGATGGACTGGTTGGATCTCCTTGCAATCCAAGGGACTCTCAAGAGTCTTCTCCAACACCACAGTTCAAAAGCATCAATTCTTCAGCACTCAGCCATCTTTATAGTCCAATTCTCAAATCCACCCATGACTACTGGAAAAACCATAGCCTTGACCAGATGGACCTTTGTTGGCAAAGTAATGTCTCTGCCTTTTAATATGCTGTCTAGGTTGGTCATAACTTTCCGTCCAAGGAGTAAGCATCTTTTAATTTCATGGCTGCAATCACCATCTGCATTGATGGGACCAGATGCCATGATCTTAGTTTTCTGAATGTTGAGCTTTAAGCCAAATTTTTCACTCTCCTCTTTCATTTTCATCAAGAGGCTCTTTAGTTCTTCTTCACTTTCTGCCATAAGGATGGTGTCATCTGCATATCTGAGGTTATTGATATTTCTCCCTGCAATCTTGACTCCAACTTGTGCTTCCTCCAGCCCAGCATTTCTCATGATGTACTCTGCATATAAGTTAAATAAGTAGGGTGACAATGTACAGCCTTGACGTACTTCTTTTCCAATTTGGAACCAGTCTGTTGTTCCATGTCCAGTTCTAACTGTTGCTTCCTGACCTGCATACAGGTTTCTCAAGAGGCAGTTCAGGTGGTCTAGTATTCCCATCTCTTTCAGAATTTTCCACAGTTTGTTATGATCCACACAGTCAAAGGCTTTGGCATAGTCAATAAAGCAGAAATAAGATGTTTTTCTGGAACTCTCTTGCTTTTTCGATGATCCAACAGATGTTGGCAATTTGATCTCTGGTTCCTCTGCCTTTTGTAAATCCAGCTTGAACATCTGGAAGTTCACAGTTCACGTATTGCTGAAGCCTGGCTTGGAGAATTTTAAGCATCATTTTCTAGCATGTGAAATGAGTTCAATTGTGCGGTAGTTTGAGCATTCTTTGGCATTGCCTTTCTTTGGAATTGGAATGAAAACTGACCTCTTCCAGTCCTGTGGCCACTGCTGAGTTTTCCACATTTGCTGGCATATTGAGTGCAGCACTTTCACAGCATCATCTCTCAGGATTTGAAATAGCTCAACTGGAATTCCATCACCTCCACTAGCTTTGCTCGTAGTGATGCTTCCTAGGGCCCACTTGACTTCACATTCCAGGATGTCTGGCTCTAGGTGAGTGATCACACCATCATGATTATCTGGGTCGTGAAGATCTTTTTTGTATAGTTCCTCTGTGTATTCTTGCCACCTCTTCTTAATATCTTCTGCTTCTGTTAGGTCGCTACCATTTCTGTCCTTTATTGAGACCATCTTTGCATGAAATGTTCCCTTGGTATCTCTAAGTTTCTTGAAGCGATCTCTAGTCTTTCCCATTCTATTGTTTTCCTCTATTTCTTTGTGTTGATCACTGAGGAAGGCTTTCTTATCTCTCCTTGCTATTCTTTGGAACTCTGCATTCAAATGGGTATATCTTTCCTTTTCTCCTTTGCTTATCACTTCTGTTCTTTTCACAGCTATTTGTAAGGCCTCCTCAGACAACCATTTTGCCTTTTTGCATTTCTTTTTCTTGGGGATGGTCTTGATTCCTGTCTCCTGTACAATGTCACAAACCTCCATCCATAGTTCATCAGGCACTCTATCAGATCTAATCCCTTAAATCTATTTCTCACTTCCACTGTATAGTCATAAGGGATTTGATTTAGGTCATACCTGAATGGTCTAGTGGTCTTCTCCACTCTCTTCAGTTTAAGTCTGAATTTGGCAATAAGGAGTTCATGATCTGAGGTACAGTCAGCTCCTGGTCTTGTTTTTGCTGACTGTATAGAGCTTCTCCATCTTTGGCTGCAAAGAACATAATCAATCTGATTTCAGTGTTGACCATCTGGTCATGTCCACGTGGAGAGTCTGTCTTCTCTTGTGTTGTTGGAAGAGGGTGTTTGCTGTGACCAGTGCGTTCTCTTGGCACAACTCTATCAGCCTTTGCCGTGCTTCATTCTATACTCCAAGGCCAAATTTGCCTGTTACTCCAAGTACTTCTTAACTTCCTACTTTTGCATTCACCCCCAAAAGAATAAATAAACATGAATTGAATAGCTTTGGCAAAAATTCAAGTAAATGTGGAAACAGTTAAAGTCAAGCAGTAGATAAAAATTATTTTTCTGCTATCAAATGACAATTTACAAATACAACCATTACCTTCTCCAAAAGTCTCCTACCCAGCTAACACCAGGTAATTTACTCACCTGATCTGAGGATCTGCCCACCGAGGTCCAGCCAGGACAGAAACTGCAGTGTATTCCACAGGATTATAGTCACGCCACTCAACAAACCAGCCCACTTTATCATTAGGAACCTGGCTGCGTTGAACTTTTGAACCTGGATAAGGAGATGTCCGAGCCTTGTTGTGGGAATGTTTGATACCGTTAAAACCAGACATCATGTTCGAATTAACATGAAATCTGCAGGATGAAAGTGAGTTTCTGAGAGGAAAAAAAAGAAAAATGTTTTATGTCAGTACAAAATACTTAAATTAACTTAACCTAATTCACAGTCTCCAAAATACAACCTTTCAATTTCAAAGACTTAAAAATCAGAAAATCCTAATTTGATGTATACTGGAATAAAGGTCCAATATCTGTGAAACTGTTTACAAACAAAAAAATATTGCTAAATCTTACTAATTGAAACTTACAGAGTTTATTTTAGCTAAGAAAAAGGGATAGAAGTTTACTTTTGTTAGCACAAATGATGGAGGAGATAATTTTATAATAAAAATTCAACCACAAAAACAAATATAAAGAAAGACTATTAAAGCCTACAGGAAGGAATCTATTTTTAAAAAAATAATAAGCTAATGGTCTAACACAGCAGTCCCCAAGTTTTTTGGCACAAGGAACTGGTCTTGTGGAAGACAATTTTTACATCGCTCAGGGTGAGGGGGCAGGGATGGATAATTCAGGCCTGGTGGTAATGGGAGTGCTGAGGTGGGGAACAGGTCAGGTGGTAATACAAGCGATGGCGAACGGCAGATGAAGCTTCACTTGCTCGTCCACTGCTCACCTGCTGTGTGACTCAGTTCCCAATAGGGCCCGGGGGTTGGGGATCTCTGGTCTAATGTACATATGTCAAAAATGAATGACAGAAATAGCACAAAAAAAGAAAAGGAAATGGAGATATACTGTTGTTAGGTTCCTACACTGTACTCAAATTAATGTAGTATTACTTGAAGCCAGACTGTGATAGATGTACAGATTATAAACTTTAGAGTAGGACTTCCTGATGATCCTGTAATTAAGAAACCACCTGTCAATGCAGGGGACATGGGTTCAATCCCTGGTCCAGGAAGATTCCATATGCCATGGGCCAACTAAGCCCATGCTCTACAACTACCAAAGCCCAAAAAAAGTCTCTGTCAGACAAATGCTGTATGATATCACTTATATGTGGAATCTAAAATATGACACAAATAAACATATCTACTAAACAGAAACAGACTCAGACTTGGAGAACAGATGTGTGGTTGCCAACGGGGAGAGGGAGGGGGAGAGGGAAGGAATGGGAGCTTGGGATTAGCAGATGCAAACTGGTATATATAACATGGATAAACAACCAGGTCCTAATGTATAGCACAGGGAACTATACTCAATATCCTGTGATAAACCATAATGGAAAAGGAATATGAAAAAATATATATGTGTGTATGTGTATATACAGGCCAATAGGATAGAGAGTCCAGACATAAACCCTTACAATATATAGTCAGATGATTTTCAAAAAAGGGTGTCAACTCTCAAAAGGGAAAGGACAGTCTTTCCAACAAATGGTGCTGGGAAAGTTAGATATTCACATGCAAACAGATGAGGATGGATCCATACCTTACATATAAATAAACATTAACTTGAAATGGATCAAAGACCCAAACATTAAGACCTAAAACTATAAAACTCTTGAAAGAAAACATAGAGGGAAATTTCATGACATTGAATTTGGCAATGATTTCTCAGATATGACCAAAAGCACAAGTGACAGAAGAAAATCGGTAAATCAGACTGTATCAACACTAAAACTTCTGTGTATCAAAGGACACAATCAGTGGAGTGAAAAAAGCAAATCACAAACTATACTGTAGATGACACTCAAAGGGTTAGTAACTACAATATACTGAGTTTGTATAAACTGACAAAGGGTGAACTGGAATAGGAAATTGGGCAGATTATGACCAAACAATCAAAGAAAAGCAGATCCAACTGGCTAATAAACATTAAAAGACAGTTATAATCACTAGCAATTAAAGAAATGAAAATTTAAGTAACCGTAAATTCTTTTTTCCATGTAGACTGACAAACCTTTAAAAAGGTAACACCATCTCCTATACATTGCTGGTAGAGATGTGAACTGCTACAGAATTTCTATAAAGTAATTTGGCAATAAAGATGAACATACTTACATCCTGCAACTCAAGTAATTTCATTCCACTAATCTAGCCCATAAAAATGAAATAACCAATTATGCATACAAAAAGTATTTCAGTAGTGTTTAATGAGAATTAAAGGAAATGCCCAATAATGTAAGGATGGCTTAATAAATATTAGAACAGCTACACCATGGGATGACTATTAAGTAGCTATAAAAAAGAATGACATCAAGTGACAGTATTTTCATACAATATTGTTGAAAATTAAAAGCAAGATGCAAGAAAGTGTGTATAACATGATCCCATCTTACACAGAAATGGTAGAAAAAATAAAGAACATATATTTAAGACTATTCACATAATGTATTCATTTTTTCACTGCTGCCATCACAAATTTCCACAAATTCAGCAGCTTAAAACTACACAAATTTATTATCTTACAGTTCTCCAGGTCAGAAGTCAGACAAAAGTCTTACTGGGCTAAAACCAACATGTAGACAGGGCTGCAAGACTTTCGTGTAGCCAGCAAGGCTTTCATTCAGATTTGATAGAGAGATCAGAAGCTGATCTAACCAATTCCAATGTAAATTTCCTTTTTACTTCTGTTTTATTATTTCCTAGCACGGTTTATTTTCTAAACAATTTTATTTTCAATCAACTTCAGAACAATTAAGGGAACTGAAGTTCTAAGAAGGAAAGTAAAAGTTACTCAGTTATGTCCGACTCTTTACGACCCCAAATTCATAGTATTACAAGCCTATCTTTCGAAACAAGCTTTCTTGTTTCTGGTAAAACAAGAAAAATCTCAACCAATCAACCAACCCTTACACCTAAAGGAGCTAGATGAAGAACAAACAAAACCCAAAGCTAGTAGTAGCAAAGAAATCATAAAGACCAGAACAGAAACAAAAGAAATAGAGACTAAAAAACAACAGATAAATGTAACAGAAAAGAAAGCCCAGAAATGAACCCACACTTATGTGGGCAATTAACCTCCAACAGAGGAGGCAAGAATACACACTGAGGAAAGGCAGCCTTTTCAACAGATGCAAAAGAAACAAACTGGACTACTCTGTCACACCATGCACAAAAATAATTTCAAAATGAATTAAAGACTTAAATGCAAGACCTGAAGCCATAAAACCTCTAGAGGAAAATATAATCAGTACACTCTCTGACATTGGTCTTAGCAAGATTTTTTGGGGTATGTATCCAGGGAAACAAAAGCAAAAATAAACAAATGGGACTGCATTAAACTAAAAAGCTTTTGTGCAGCAAAGGAAACTACCAACAAAAGAAAAAGGCTGCCTACTGAATAGGAGAATGTATTTGCAAACAATATATCTCGTAAGTGGTTAATATCTAAAACATACAAAGAATTTACATAATAAATACAGCACTAGAAAAAAACAAACAACCCAACTTAAGAAATGAGTGGAAGCTCCAAATACATATTTTTTTCAAAGAGAACACAGAGATGGCCAACAGGAACATTAAAATACACTCAACATCACTTTTCACTTTCACGCATTGGAGAAGGAAATGGCAACCCACTCCAGTGTTCTTGCCTTGAGAATCCCAGGGATGGGGGAGCCTGGTGGGCTACCATCTATGGGATCGCACACAGTCAGACACAACCGAAGCGACTTAGCAGCAGCAGCAACATCACTAATCATCACAGAAATGCAAATCAAAATCTACCTCATACCTGTCAGAATGGCTATTATCAAAAAAACAACAAATAACAAGTGTTGGTGGGGTTGTGGTGAAAAGGGAACTCTTGTGCACTGCTAATGGGAATGCAAACTGATGTGGTTACTGTAGAAAACAGTAGAGATTCCTTTAAAAAATTAAAAATATAACTACTATATGATCCAGCAATTCTACTCCTGAATATTTGTCTAAAGAAAATAAAAACACTAATTAGAAAAGATGCATGCACCCCATATTCACAGCAGCATTATTTACAACAGCCAAGATATGGAAGTAGCCTAACTGCCCATCAATAGGTGAATGGATAAAGATATCATGCACACACACACATAATGGAATATTACTCAGCTATTTAAAAAAAAAAGAAGTAAATATTTCCATTTGTGATGACATGGTTGGACCTAGAGCATATTATGCTAAGTGAAATGTCAGGAAAAAAAAGAAAGACAAGTACTGTATGATTCTACTAATATGTGGAATCTAAAAAACAAAACAAACATTAACAAAACAGAAACACAGTCATAGATACACAGATCAAACAGGTAGTTGCCAAAAGAGAGGGTAGTAGGGGTGGAAAGAAGCAGTAAAGGGATAAGATTAAGAGGTACAAACTTCTAGGCACAAAATAAGTAAATTATGTGTATGAAATATAAGATGTGGAGAATAACTGTTATCCCTGTATGGTGACATATGGCAACTAAACTCACCCTGGAGATCATGTTAAGATGTATGGAAATATCAAATCAGTACGATGTGTAACAGGAACTAACATAGTGTTATACAGGTCAATTACACTTCAAAAAACTAACTCATAAAGGTTGTGGAGGGGAGGGGGGAACTGGGTAAAGGTGGTCAAAAGGTACATATGACTTTCCAGTTATAAGATAAATAAGTATTAGGGATATAATGTACAACATGATATATACAATTAATACTGCTCTATATTATATATTAAGTAAATCCTAAGAGTTCTCATCACAATGAAAATTTTTTATTCTACTTCTTTCATGTTGTATCTATAGGAGATGATGGATGTTCACTAAACTTATTGTAACAATCATTTCATGATGTTTGTGTTTCAAATCATTATGATATACACATTAATCTTATACAGTGCTGAACATCAATTTTATCTCAATAAAACTGGACGGAAAATAAATTTTACATTACAGGTAAATAAGTTAGGTTAAAACCAAATCTATATACTAAGTCTTCAAACAAAGAATTCATCAATTTTTGTTTTTATTCTATTTTGTTTGTTGTATTTTATACATAACTGCATTATACAGCGAACTTTACTTTTATACCTTCATAGTCAAGGAGAAGACTCTTGAGAGTCCCTTGGATTGCAAGGAGATCCAACCAGTCCATCCTAAAGGAGATCACTCCTGGGTGTTCATTGGTAGGACTGATGTTGAAGCTGAAACTCTAATACTTTGGCCACCTGATGCAAAGAGCTGACTCATTTGAAAAGACCCTGATGCTGGGAGGGATTGAGGGCAGGAGGAGAAGGGGACGACAGAGGATGAGATGGTTGGATGGTATCACCAACTCAATAGACATGGGTTTGGGTGGACTCCGGGAGTTGGTGATGGACAGGGAGGCCTGGCATGCTGCGGTTCATGGGGTTGCAAAGAGTCGGACACAACTGAGCGACTGAACAGAACTGAAGTCAATCAATCAAATCAATTCTAGTAAAAGTATTAGAAGCCTTCATCAAAATTTCCCCAAGATCTCCTTTACTCCTTTGATACTCAAACCACTCTTGCTTGAAACACTATGCTTTCATTGGTTTTGTCAACTCTTTTTTTTTTTAAAACAAGAGCATTAGGGCTTTTATTTTCCACATACTAGTCCCTCCGTGCTTTGAGGAATGTAACAAAGGATTCTACCTGCTTTTTTAATACTTTTCTTTTTTTCAAATTTTGCAAGGCAAAATTGTGCAGAAAATAATAGAGCTCCCATATAACCTCAGCCTCCTCACCACAAACACAAAGAGCCCCAGCACCACCACCAACATGCCCCACCGAAGAGTTACATTTGAAATAAAGTGAAGTCCTCAGTCCTGTCTGACTTTGCGACCCCATAGACTGGAGTCTACCAGGCTCCTTCAGCCATGGGATTTTCCAGGCAAGAGTACCGGAGTGGGTTGCCATTTCCTTCTCCAGGTGATCTTCCCAATCCAGGGATCAAACCCAGCTCTCCCACATTGCAAGCAAACGCTTTACTGTCTGAGCCACCAGAGAAGTTAATACCTTTGAAATAAGGGAGCCAAAACATCCTACATCAGTAGTGGGGCAGTAACGACGGAAATCAGCCCTCTCTCCCTCCCCACTCACAAACAAAAAGTCAGCAGTACTTGTTGATCCCCAGGATAAAACCAAAATGTAAAGAAAAGGGCTAGAACCTCTATGGTGAATTAGGTATTAAAGAACACAGCAGAAACTTCGGCTTAATCTGTACAGTTCACACTGAGGAAATAAAGTTGAGGCAGCTACAGTCAGCAGAAAAATTGTTGCACAAGTGTAAAGTCTGGACCAGAAGAGGAAGGGGACGTTTACAGCCTGTCCACCGGCTGCTACTTGCTCACACACCCTCAACTGACACCTTCCAGTCCAGAAGGCTATCACTGGAGTTGGCGCGGGGGGGTGGAGATAGAAGAAAAAAATGGAAGAAACAAATTGAAGAAAATTTCCTTGTGTCTAATGACGTGACAAAAATAGTAATTAAAAACACACACACTCCTAGAGGCAGCCTCACAACACTTGTTTATTACTCGAAGCCAGGCATGGGCATGGTACCTAGGACATGTGTTCAGAAACCAGGTGAAAGGAATAAGAGGAGACAGTCTGAGATACCACAAATCCCTAAATTTATCCAAGGCAAATTTTTTTAAAAGAGGTAAATAATAAATATTTTATCTACACTGAAATGGAGAAGAGGAGGAATGACGACTTACACTTTTCATTTTACACCATTTAAACGGTTCGCTATTTAAACTCTCTGGGGACAAATAATGTTAGTGACTCACGGCAGAGGACAAATTTCAAGTATCGTAAGAAAGCGTGTCACCACTTGCTTTTCTCAAAAGGCAGGTAAAATATTTTAGAGTCTTTTTTTTTTAAAAACGTGCGTATGGCTGTAAAAAGCTGGGACCCAACGGGAGCCTCCTGAAACCACCCGACCAGAAGCTGGTTCCCAGCCGCAACGCAAAGACTCGGGAGAAGGAGTCAGCGCTAGAAGCGGGAATACCTGTACGCCGCGACGCTGCACCCGCCCAAGTACTTGACAGTCACAGAGGCCAGGGCGACAGAGAGGGACACGGCGGCTAAAGTCTTCCCCAGGAAGCCTCCGGCCATCAGCGGCCCGCGGAAGATTCGCGGAGCGAGGTAGCTTGGGCCTCAGCCTCCGCCCGCCCCACAGCCCCGAGCCCCGGGTGACCAGCGGGTACTGGGACCGGGCGGCCCTCCGGTTCCGGAGAGGAAGTAGCTACGTCAATCTCATTAACACACAGGGACTAGACGCCCTCCCAAAATAAAAGCCACTTCGAATCCCCAAGTGACGCGCAAGGTACCAGCTCCAGTTGCCGGGAAAACTGCCACCCCGGCAGTAACGCTCCGCTGCGTGACGGCACTTTACGACAGCGCCGAAAAGCGAGGAGGTGCTACAAAGCGCCCGCCATCGGCTTTTCATCCTTGCGGATCCCGTGATTGTGAGGCGGGTTGGACAGGGGTCCCGGGGTACCATCGAGAAAACGGTAGGGAAAAGGGAAGCTGAAAGAAACCGAGAAGTAGGGAAGGAGAAGAAAAAGGAAGGGGATTAAGAGAAGTGTGCCCTCTTTTTTTTTTTTTTTTTTCAGGGAGGAAGGAGTTAGAATCCTAGTCATATCTGATTACAAGTGGTTCCAGGGGAAGGAGGTAGGCCAGAGACTTGGAATTCCCGTATCTGAGGCTTTTCAGTTCCTTTTTTACGAAGATGTCCACCTCTTGAGTAAATTTCACGAGGCTTCGCCGTGTGTGGCCTTAGCAAACCTTCGGAGGAGTAAAACCAGCTGTGAAATAAGCACACAGCGTGGAGGAGGGACACGGGCAACATCTGATCTGTAACTCCGGAGGCAGCGATTGGCCGAACCGGAAATGGTACATCAACATTGTCAGAACAGTTTGTAAAGCGATTTTTGTTTGACACTTGGTTTGTCATTATCTTTTTTTAGGTCTGAAAGTATAAGATGCAGTAGTATACACATTTTGTAATATATTTTTAATATTTTTCAGTATAGTTTATCACAGGATGTTGACTGTAGTTCCCTATGCTATACATTAAGGCCTTGTTTTTTCTTTATTCTAAATGTGATCATTTGTATCTACCAACCCCAGACTTCCAGGAGCAAGTCTCTTCCTCTCCTATCCCTTGGATCTGCTTCTGTTTCATAGATTCATATGTGTCGTTCTTTTTAGATTCCACATATGGGTGATATTCTATGGTTAGTATCTCTTTCTGATTTCCTTCACTTAGTATGATAATCTCTAGTTACACAGCCCTAGGTTCTCGTTAGTCATCTACTTTATACATGATAGTGTATATAGGTCAACCCCATTCTCCCAGTTCATTCCACTCACCTCCCCTTTCCCCCTTGGTATCCATACTTTTTTTTCCCTCTACATTTGTGCCTCTATTTTTGCTTTTCAAATAAGATTATCTTTACCACTTCCCTAGATTCCACATTTATGTGTTAATATATTTGTTTTTCTGACTTACCTCTGTATGACAGCCATCCATGTCTCTGCAAATAACATTTTCATTCCTTTTCATGGCAAAGAAGTAGCTCATTGTATATATACCACATCTTCTTTATCCATTCTTCAGCTGATGGACATGTAGGTTGTTTCCATGTCCTGGCTGTTGTAAATAGTGATTCTGTGAACAGTGGGATGCATGTATCTCGTTATCTTATTAAAGTGTGTGTGAGTATTTACCTTTTAAGTATGTAATCCACTGTTTCAGTGGTGGGGGTATGGACACAGACGTAAAACTTTTCACCATCTCAAAAGCCAGATTTATCAAACCTTAACAACTTTTCTGAAGACCATAGACTTCTCAGTATATGAAAGCTCCATCTGAACCAATGTACTGAGAAACTGAACCAAACTTTTGTTGATGAAAATTCAGTTAACTAGCAAGTTAAGAAGAAAACAAGAGTATTTTATTTGAGCCAAACTGATGATTTTAACTGATGATGTGAGAGTTGGACTATAAAGAAAACTGAGCACCGAAGAATTGATGCTTTTGAACTGTGGTGTTGGAGAAGACTCTTGAGAGTGACTTGGACTACAAGGAGATCCAACCAGTCCATCCTAAAGGAAATCAGTCCTGAATATTCATTGGAAGGACTGATGCTGAAGCTGAAACTACAATACTTTGGCCACCTGATGCAAAGAACTAACTTATGTGAAAAGACCCTGATGCTGGGAATGATTGAAGGTGGGAGGAGAAGGGGACGACAGAGGATGAGATGGTTGGATGGCATCACCGAATCAATGGACATGAGTTTGAGTAAACTCTGGGAGTTGGTGATGGACAGGGAAGCCTGATGTGCTGCAGTCCATGGGGTCGCAAAGAGTCGGACACGACTGAGCAACTGAACTGATGATTTTAATGCAGGAAGAAGATTCTCAGAAAGCTCTGAGAACTATTCTGCCTGTTAGAAGTTGAAGGCACAGTCAAAAAACTTTTTGAGACAAAGGATCATCCGTCAAAATGACTAATATATTTACATAAATTTTACCAAGATATATACTCCAGGTAAGCACATGTCAAGATAGACTTAAGTTACTATGACCCCCTACAGCACAGGGAAAGAACATTCTTCTTTTAAGAAGTTACATCGCTAGGGTCAAAATAAAGGGAAAAAATTGATCTTTATGGTTGAGAATTTTGTAAATTCTCAAACTGATCTTTGACAAGTTCTGGTTAATGTGTAATACAAACTGCACATGAGGAAGGGAGGAGCCCCAATTCTCAGAGAATTTGTTTAATTTTTTCTTGTCCTGCCTTAAAATATAAATTGTATTTCATTACTCTGTTATGACTTCTAGAAGCTTAAGGTCTTGTCCATAGAGTGATCCCAGCATCAACCCCCACCCACACCCTCCCCTTCAACCCCTTTGGTTCCAGGCAAAACCTGGATAGGCAGTCAGACCCCAGACCCCTCTCTTGGGCAGTTTAGAAAGCTTGCAATTAGAAATCTTTCCTCTGCCTTGGTGGTATAAATCTACCACCCAGAACTTTTCTTTAGTACTACTTCTTCTCCTCTGACAAATATCTGTTAAACCAGATGGCCTAGTCACATGGATCACCCACCCACCTCTCTACCACCCCTTAGCACACTCCAGCCCTTGAATAGTCTCCAGCCTTCTGTTTCAGGGAAGTAGAATTCAGTTCATACTGCAGTATTGAAACAAAGCAAGACCCTATGGTCCTTGTCCCCCACATCCTCTGCCTGCCTTTTGTCTGTGAAAGGACTTTAGTCAAAGAATATGTTTGCTCAGAGAAGTGAGAACATGCAGAAACAAAGGAAAATAGTCAAAGGGACCAAAGAATAATAGTTTGACAATTAAGTACAGTCGAGGACATTTAGCTCCTTCTCAAGGGCTATAGATGATATTCTGAGCCATATCCTGTGAGCTGTCTTATAGATACTGAACACTCCACAAGATGGAGAAGTTAGCACATGATGAACAGATTGTAAGTGTGACATAAGCTGCCACAATTCTGAGAACTGGCCTCAAGAAGTGGAAACGAACCAACCCTAGAACTGAAAATTAACTGTACTTAAAACAGTCAAGATGATGCTAGTTGAATCCCCAATGACCAATTTCCAGATGACTGTCGGAGCTGACTGTGCTGTTTCTGCAGGCAGCCCCTCCCTCAGCCTAGAAAAGCTCTAGCCCCCTGATTGCCCACGGGGTGCTGCAGGGGGCAGCCTTTGGACAGGCATTGGCCACACCCAGTGCCTCCCCATCCCCTTGCCAGCATCCAAAGTAAAACACAATTGCCTTTCCACCAACCTGGACTTGTTATTGGCTTTTGGTGGCACACCCCAGAACCCCACTTTTGGTTACAGTGTTACTAAACAAAATATGTCTTTACCACTTTAGTGTTCAGATTTGATTATCTTTAACAATTTATCCAGGTAGCAAAGTACTATTGTTAAAATATACTTAAAACTTTTAAAAAATAAATATATGGACTTGGCTTCCTGAAGTCAGATAAACTTTGTTGTCAAAGTTGTTGACAGCCACTAACCTCTGCTTAAACTTAAAAAACAAAATTCAACTGAGTGAATTTGAAGATCTAATTGGCTCTGTTGAATGATTCATGAATCAGGCAGTATCCCATCTAACAAACAGAAAGGAGCTCTAAGGAACTGTACAAATGGAAGGTTTTTAAAAGCAGGAAAGAAGAGTTCCCTGGTGGTCCAGTGGTTAGAACACTCTGCTTCTACTGCAGAGGGCCTGGGTCCAATACCTAGTCAGGGAACTAAGACCCCCCCATGCCTCACAATGCAGCCAAAAATTTTAAAAAGGCAGGAAGGAGTGGGACAAGAAAGTCAAAATGAGAAAAAAAAAAAAAAAGTGGGGGGGGATTATTCTTTCAGGCAAGATCACCTTTCTTTGGGAGAAGGGTTGGGGTTTATGATGGGTATCACCTCATTGGTGCTGGTCAGGAAATTCCAGGCTGATTGGTTTTTAAAAATTACATTTCAAAGAGATGCTGAAACCACAATTGGGTATGAAGTTTTAGTTTGCTTCTGTGGGGCTTAGCATGAAGTGAACAGTGTTAGTTGCTCAGTCGTGTCCAACTTTTTGACCCCTTGGACTATCGCCTGCCAAGCTCATCTGTCCATGGGATTCTCCAGGCAAGGGACTTAGCATAAGTGACTTCAGTGTGGACCTGTTGTCCCTTTTTCAACACTGAAAAGATACTAGGCAGGCTCTGTTAAAAAAAAAGGCTCCGCTTATCAACCAAATTATCAAATAGTTCAGCCGACTTATTAGTCATTAGGGAGAAGAGTAATAAGGCAGTGTGAGTCACAAAACCTCTGACCAAAGAACGGAAAATCTGAAAGGTGTTCTCATAGAAGTTCCTCAAGTCCTAGTCTCCAAACACTACATTCCTTGAGGGGAAGTGGGAGTGGACTCAGTTTAAGAAACTACACAACCACTCAGACAAAACCAACTCCCACGCAGACAAAACCAACTTCCTGGCACTGGACCTGCACCACAGTTGGCTCCAACAGCCAGGTCTCCTTCAGGTCTCCATCTCTCTTCAGAGATGTCTACTCCCAGGTCTGCACACA